GGCGGTGGTGGAGGTGGTGATGGTGGTGGTGGAGGTGGTGATCCCTGGTACTGAGGCTTTCTGGACACAGCTACTATGCTGAGAGCTTTATAGAACCATCCTGGGGTGTGGGTGCTACTAAGATCCTCATTTTACAAACAAGACACAGAAGAATTGAGAGGTTCGGTGACTTGAGTATTTACTGGCAGAGCCAGATGTGGAGACTAGGTCTCTGAGTCCTTTAGGCCACACCCCAGCATGGTCCCTGAGAGGTTCTTAGGGCCCGGGGGAGCCTGAGGGTGCGCCTCGGCCCTCAAGTCTCTGGTGATGCCGGAATGCGTGCAGGTTGGAGGATAAGAAGGAGGCCAGGGAGGCTTTGGGACCCCTGCCTCTGCCTCAGCCTCCAGCACATGCACGTGGGGCGCATTCCCTGGATGGGCCTCGGGGGCCCTGAGTGCAGTGTTCCCAGCAGGTGGCCGGGCTCTGTCGTCTGAGGGCCTTTACCTCCTCGGCACGGTCTCCCAGATCAATCTCCACAAACACAGATGGTTTCTGTGGATGGAAACCAAAGAGAAGTGGATGGCGGGCTCAGGTGGCCGCAGAGGGGAGGCAGCCTCCCGGGAGGCGCAGGGGGCTCCGGGCCCTGGTGCAGCAGGGACCACCAGAGAGTGGCTGTGCTCGGTGGGGGCTCCGAGTAGCTGGGCAGAGCGCGGTCGGCGGTGTGACTGGAAGGTGTGCGTGGCCAGCGCTGGCAGAGGGGAGGGGAGGGATTCCACCGCGCATCTCTCCCTACTCACCCCCTCAGGTCCCTGAGACCCCAGTTCTCCCCCGGCTTCACCATCTGAGAACCAGGGCTGTGGGTCACCAGGCTGCCCAGGGCTGGGGCAGCCCCTCCACACCCTCGCAGAAATGCACGCTGCCCCCTAACCCTCGGGGGGCCCTCTCTGCCCCACACTGGTGAGGACTCACACTGAGGCGTGGGAGCAGCTCGGCCCAGAATGGGTTTCCAATGGTAGCACTTCGGTGAACCCCACACGTGTTTGTGGGTGAGCTCTGGGAACCCCAGGGGCCATCTGTCCTAGGTCCTGGTAAAACGGGTCTGGCTCCTTCTCCCTCCCACGTGGATTGGGAAGGGGAATGAGCACCTTCCTCCCTCGGAACGTGGCCAGTGGGAATCCCTGCCCCAGCACAGATGGGTGTCTGGCCAGCGCATCACGGCACAGGGGGCGGTTCAAGGCTAAGCTTTCCACGGCCACCTCCCGCCAGGTCCCCAGTGACTCAGGCAGATGCTTTGGGAAGAGGGGTGCTCAGCATCAGCCAGGAGCACAGAGCTTGACCCAAAGGCTCTTGGTTGAGCCTACGGTGTGGTCCTGCCAAGGTGACCCCGGGACCACGTGTCCACAGCCGGCTCGTGGTCCCACGGGGCCGCGCCTGACAGCCCTCCCCGTCTGACAAAGTCAGATGCTCTTGCCTCTCTTCCCAAAGGCTCATCCAGCTTTCCGGACTCGAGCTCCTCTTCCTGCGGAAGACAGCAGACGAGTAAGCAACGGCAGGAGCGGAGGGCGAGGGGCCGTGCGCACACCCCGGGCGTGCCCGGCCAGCCCTCCCGCTCCCGCCACCGGCCTCCGGGTGGCCCCTCGTCACCGCCGGCCCCGTCCTTCCGCCGTCGGGCTCCAGCTTTCCCAGGGCGTCCTCACGCTTGTGCTGCGTGTCTTCCTCTGGGTCGGCCTGACTGCGGAGGAGGCCGTGGGTCAGCCTGGGTGTGGGGCGGCCGCGGGGGGGCATGGAGGGACGGGGCGTGCAGGGCCTGCCTCCTGCCTGGGGGTGGGCGGAGGCCAAGGCAGACGGGTCCGGCCCTGGGCACCCAGGAGCAGGCAGGGCTGCACCAGGCTGGTTCTAGGGCCGTGATGGTGGTGCAGGGGGGCGGGGGGCGGTCGGCCCACAGTGGGGCTGCACATCCAGACCTTCCCCAAACGGCGAGGCCTGTGGTGCGGCCAGCGGCCTGGAGAGTCGCCTGGGAACGTTTGCTAAGACAGGCATCAGCTCCGAGGCTCCCGGCCGTGGCCAGCTGGGGGCTGCCCGGGGAAGCGGGTGCAGCGGGCGTGCGGCTTGCGGCCTTGGCACCCCTCCCACCCGAGCCCTTGGGGTCTTCTCGGGACACTCAGGCCTCCTTTGGGTCCAAGCGTCGACCTCGGGGCCGCACCCCCCACCCCCGCTGTCTCCTGTGCCCTCAAGTCTCTGAAAACACCCGTGCTGGACAAAGACCCCTTACCAGCGGGCGTCCTCAGTGTCACTTCGTAGGTCTCTTCCCTGGTCCTCGGACTCTGGGGAGGAAGGGGCAGCGTCTGCCACCAGAACCCCTGGCCTGCGGCCGGCCCTACAAGGGCTGACAGGCCGTCCTCAGGCACTGGCCCCAGAGGACGGTCCAGGTCCCGTTTCCGTGTGGCCACAGCTGGGCCCAGGGTGCTACGGGAGGCTGGCTGCCTGTGGCCGCTCCCCTCCCGCCAGCGCCTCGGGCCCCTGCCCCCCGACCCGACACACACACACACACACACACACACACACACACAGGGCCCCAGATCCCAACACAGCCCCCCCAGGTGGGCAGTTACAAAGCCTCACTCGCCCTTCTGATAGGGGGCCCGGCAGGTGCTTCGGAGCACCCCAGTCCTGCGGGGGGCTTCCTCCGGAAGCTGGCGGCGTCCTCTCCCTCTCAGGCCTCCAGGCTGGGGGTCTGACGGCCGGGCTGCGGGAGGCAGCCTGCAGGCCGAGAGCCTGGAGCTCTCCCGCGCCGTCCCTGCCCTGGACCCGGCCTCGTGGGGGTCCCCCTGCCCCATGTCAGCAGACCTGCCCTGGAGGGAGACGCGTCTCAGCCGGGCCTCCCGGTGCTCAGCGCGCTTGGCTGTGCTGTTCGGGCCCTTCTCTGTGGCTCACAAGTCCCCTGTGGGTAAGAGCTAGGGTCCCTCCCCCTCTCGTCGGCCGCGCCCACACCGGCTCAGGGACGCGGGCTGATGAGTGCTGGGCCGGCCCCGCCACAGACGGAGTCCTAGGGGCACTAGCAGGGGTGCAAGGGGCGGCGGGCCAGCTCTCGGGTCTTGAGAGAACATCGCGGAAGCTGGGGCTCTCGAGACAGCCTTCGGGGCACAGAGGCCCAGCCCAGTCTCCACCTCGGAGAACAGGACCCGAATGATTCAGAGGCAATAGTTTTGGGATTTTAAAATTGACTTCTTTTGGAAAATCTTCAGCAGGCCCCGACCTGCAAGCACCCGTGTGTGTGTGTGTGTGTGTGTGTGTGTGCGCGCGTGCACGCGCATGTGTGTGTGTGTGTGTATGCAAGTGTGTTTGGAAGACACGGGGCTGCTCCCTGAACATGCTTCTTCCTATAACATGTAACTGGCAAGAAGGAAAGAGCCAGTAAAAAGACATGATTTTTTTCTCCACAGTGGAGCCCCCAGGGCATCTTGTGTGATCCTGAGGAGTATTATTACCTAAGGGTCTGCTGCTCTCACCCCCAGTCCCTTTTCTAAGAAAGCTCCTGCAATTATCAAGGCTCTGGGCATACGGGGCAGCGAGTGGCCTCTTGATCCGAAGGGCTCCACCAACGATCGTCCGGCAGGCAGAGGCCTGGGGGCTGAAGTGTGTTCCTCCTGAGCCGAGGGGGGTCTGAGGTCAGAGGATCAGGGCTTCCAGGGGGTTAGCAACAGGGGATGACTAGAAGGTTTCCTTTGCTGCCGCTCTTCAGGCGGCTCTTCAAGTGCTTGCAGATTAGTTTTTGGGTGAAGACAGTCCCTCAGGGTGCGGCGGGGGGGCAGTGGTCCTGCACGTGCTGGGGTCGGACCTCAGTCACACCTCCTGGTAAGCTACTTAAGTATCGGACATCTCGTAATAGGCACTGAGCTGCCTGGGGCGGGGGAGACCCTCTTAACACCGAGCGTTGATCCTGTGATGGGGGTGGTCCGAGGCCCGACCCGACCTCGCAGCCTGGCAGCACGGCAAGTGTGTGCCTCCCTGGTGTAATGTCCGCAGGCCCCCCCCCTCCCTAGGAGAGAGCCCATCTCTCGGGAGGAGCCCCCCACTTCCTCCCTGGGCACACCCACCCCTGAGCACAAACAAACAGCCGGGTGCAGAGGGATGGCAAGGCAGGCCTGGGCTCCAGAGTCCCGGGGAGGGGGCACCATGGGCACAGCAGCATGAGCCCGGACAACTCCCATGGTGGGTCCTGTGCAGGCGGCTGATGGCTGGGCTCCTGCTGTCCCTCCTTTACCAGGCTGGTCTTGGGGCCAACTCGGACTGCTCATCTGCGGTCTGGCCGCCTCTTGCCTGGCCCATGGGCTGGCTGGCCCGTGTCCTGCGTCTGTGACGTCTCCGTCCCTGTGGGTTCAGGTGGCACCCTTGCTCCCTGCAGGTGTGCCGAGGACTGTCCTGGACACCCAGCGAGGCACCTCTTCTGGTCTCATTTCACCCTGTGGACGGCGGGACGCGGAGCAGCCTGCCCCACCGCTGTCTGTCCTGCGGGCTCCAGGGAGGCTGAGCCCCTCGGCCGAGTCGTGTCCGGGGCCGCCCGGCGCCACGTGGGGTCTGCCTTTCATCCTGTTTGGGAGAAGCCTGCGGTGCTGGCGGGAATATCCAGGAGTGGTGGGGACTGAGCCCGTCCTCTCCCGTGGCTGCCCCGTGGTGGCGGCAATATCAGAGACACGTCTATGTGCTTCTTAGGGGTTTGCTCGTCTTGAGTGAGGCTGAGACAGGGTCTCCGTGTTCAGAGGCTTCAGGGGACAGAGGCGGTAAGACCCTGGCAGTGGCCCCTGTGCTGCTGGCCGGTACCTCCCCGCTCCCGAAACAACACGGCTTTGGATGTTTACACCCCTACCTCTCAAAATCATTCCTAGGCCTTGAACAAGCAGCCGCATTTCCTGCTTACTGGATTTCATTTCCATGGCGCCCCGACCTCAAAAAGGGCCACTCACTGAGTGGCCTTCCCAGGAGAGGCAGAATGGCCGAGGGCCCGGCAAATGACTGAACCAGTCCCCTCCTCTCTCAGTCAACTCAGGGCCCTGCTCCTCTGGGGGAAGGACCACGAGAGACCTGCCCACTGGGGAGCCCAGGTGGCTCAGGTCAAGGAGCCGTCCACGCAAGCACTAGGTGTTCCACACCCTCCTCACCACCCGCCCCCCCAACCACAGCGTGTTGACGGATCTCCTAGGTGGAAAGAATGGCCACGTGTAACATGGCCGACCCGTGTCCTGCCTGCACCCCACGGGCTAACGGCTGGCCTGGCCTGGCAGGTCCCCAGGTTCCCTGAGCGGGACTGACCCGACACGCATCCCATGGCCACGGCCTTCTGACGGGAGGCCCGCCTGCGCCCCGCCCTGACCTCAGCAGAGCTCACTGTGGCCTACCCAGTGCGTCCCTGCCCCCAGGCCGGCCTGGTTCGGGCACCGGCAGACCCCAGCCCTTTTGGGTTTGGGCGGGGGTGGCGGGGCCGGGCCGGGCTGGAGGCGGGGACTCAGTGGCCTACCTGGCTCCTTGCTCAGTTTCCTGATGCAGCGCAGAGGGCCCCTCTCCTGGAGCAGGCCACCCAGGCTCCTGCTCCGCTGCAGTTCGGCCACCTCGCTGGCCGCCCTGAGGTGTCCGGGGGCGCCCCCTGGTGGAGGCGCCCCAGGGCCCGGCCGGTGCCTCCTGCGTGCGGCGGCGTCCTTCTCCATCGGCCTCCCTGGGTCAGGGCTCGGGAAGCAGAGGGCCGCGGGCTCCCGAGAGCGCCCTCAGACGGAGAGCATGGCTTCCAACCTCTGTCCAATCTGACGAGCAGCCCACTGTGCCCTGAGGGCCCCTGTTGCCAAGCGGCCCCTGTGACATCACTGCAAAGTCAGAGGTCAGAGGTCAGCTCCATCCCCCACCCGAGGAGGAGGAGGCTGAGGCCCCTCTGCGTGGATGCCAGGGCGCATGTGGTGCTGGGGCTGCTGCAAGCCTTTGGACGATTTCCTCACAGTGAGAACCTTTCTCGTGTCAGGGACGTGTCATGTCAGGGACACGTTGGCATGGACCAAACTCAGGCAAAAGGACCACGGGCTCAGAAGGGAGGAGACTCCATGCCGGTCGGGAGGGGCCACGCTGACAAACCCAGTTCTGCACCCCCACCGCTCCCACCACCGTCAGTCCGCTTGTGTGGCCGTGGAGAAGTGGCACAGGGGGTGGCCGGGACGATGACACGTGTCTCTCAGTCTGCTCTCCGCTGGGGCCTCCCTCCTGGCCCGCGTGCTGCCTCCCTGTGCCCTCACGCACTCCTCCGTCTGCGTGTCCCTCTGCGTGTCCATGTCCTAATCTGTTTTTCTTCTTCTTTTATTTGAGTCTCGCTGACACACAGCGTCACATCAGGTCCAGGAATATGACCTAGTGACTCGACTTCTTTCTGCCGTGCTCCCTGCACACACCGCCCACTGTCACTGGCTCTATACCGTTTCGCCCTGGACCTGTTCACTCTGTAGCTGGAGGCCTGCACCTCCCTTACCAGCCAACTTTGTTCTCTGTATTTATGAGTCTCATTCTTTTTAAAAATAAATGTTTAGAGAAAGCATGAGCAGGGGAGGGGCAGAGAGGGGAGGGGACAGAGGATTCGAAGCAGATCCAGGCTCCGAGCTGTCAGCACTGAGCCCGACGCGGGGCTGGAACTCACAAACAGTGAGATCATGACCTGAGCCCAAGTTGGATGTTCAACCGACTGAGCCCCCATCAGGTGCCCCTGATTCTTTTTGTTCATTCATTTGTTTTTTTGTTATTTGTTTAGATTCTACTTATGAATGAAATTGTATGGTATTTTCCTTTCTCTGTCTCACTGAGCATAACACCCTCCAGGCCCACCTGTGTCGTCACATATGGCACATACTGCTCCACCGCACACACCTGCACATCGGTCTCACTCATCTGTCAGCAGACACTTGGGCTGCATCCGTATCTTTGCTGTCCTAGTTAATGCTGCAGTAGCCACCAGGGTGCATGCATCCCTTTGAGGAAGTATTTTTGAACTCTTTGGGTAAAGAGTGCAATTGCTGAGTCGTAGGGTAGCTCTATTTTTAATTTTTGAGGAATCTCCATACTATTTTCCGGAGTGGCCGCACCAGTTTGCATTTCCACCAGCAGCGCACAAGTGTTCTCCTTTCTCCACATCCTCGCCAACACCTGTTGTTGCCTGTTTTTTTTTTTATTTAAAAATTTTTTAATAGTTTTTATTTATTTTTGAGACAGAGAAAGAGCACGAGTGGGGGAGGGGCAGAGAGGGAGGGAGACACAGAATCTGAAACAGGCTCCAGGCTCTGAGCCGTCAGCACAGAGCCCGACGTGGGACTTGAACCCATGAACCGCGAGATCATGACCTGAGCCGAAGTTGGACGCTTAACTGACTGAGCCCCCAGGCGCCCTGTTGTTGCCTGTTGACGTGAGCCATTCTGACAGGTGCGAGGCGGTATCTCAATGCGGTTTTGCCTTGTGTTTCCCTGATGATGAGAGATGTGGAGCATCTTCTCACGTGTCTGTTGGCTGCGTCATAATCTTATGGGACCAGGGCCCACCCTAGCGACTTCGTATGGCCATAATTACCCCTTTTTAAATACAGATCCTATCTCCAAATACAGTCACAGTCTGAAGTGCTGGGGTCAGGACTTTGCCATGAATTTTGGGGGGACACAATTCTGCCCACAACACAGCTTGATAGAGAATATCTGATGTCACCCCAGTACATGCTTTATCTCCAAACACCCACAGCCGCGGGGACAAATCACAGCACGAGCTTTCCCTGAGTAACCAGCTGATCACAACTATGCGGAACGAGCAAACACACTTCTACCCTCTCCGAAACTCTTCACAGCATCTCTACTTACAAGAGGGTCACCCGCCGAGGGGCCGGTGCAGGTGTGGTGTGGTGCCCAGCTTCCCGAGTGCAGGGGCCTAAGGACAAGCACCAGGATTGTGGGTAGCTCAGGTTGTCTGGAGGAAGAGCGACACTGAGGCCCCTGGAGGCCACTGTGACCTGTCACTAGGGGACCCGGGAGAGGGGCTTCTGGTTCCCGTGCTCCCCAGGGATTCCTCCTTCCACTCCCCTGGCTCCCTGGGTCCCACATGTGTCTGAATCAGCCAGGCTCGCTGGAGCTGCCCTGGGGCCCCGCCGTGGATGCTTGCGTCTGTCCCGACTGATGCTGGTGGTCTCCGACCTGGTGGCCTTATGGGCAGGTGCTCCCCTCTGCACCCCTCAGACCCTCCCGAGCCCTGGTGCCATCCCACCCTTCTGAGCCACCAGGAGAGGCTGGAGGGAAGCAGTAACACATTTTGCTCCCCAAGTCCATGCCCCCAGGGAAGGGGTGACCCCGACTACCCCAAGTCCTGGTCTGGCATCCCCAGAGCCAGACCATCTGATTCTTTCATAACAGCTGACTCCGGCTGGAATTAAAACAGCAACGAGTGAGAACCAAACCGAAAGAAGAAAGGAATAGGGAAAAGAGAAGCTCTGCCCTTGCCTGGAGGCAGGGTCTCCCCCAAATGCAATTCAGCCTCTTCCCCCACTGGTGAGACGGCGTCCTCAGCACCTTCTGCCTCCCGAAAGCCTCTCCTGATGCTCCTCCCTTAGATGCTGGCCTGTGTCTGCTCCTGGAGCCCAAGGCCCACCGTGTCTCGGAGACCGTGGTGCGTGAGGCAGCCCACCTCCCTCTCCTTGGATCGGACGCCCGTCTCCAACCCTGGAGGTTCCCAGCCGGACACGGACCCATGGCACTCGCAGTGCCTGACCCACACCTCTCCATCCCAGAGAGCATGTGGTTTCCAGCTTGATCCAAGGCCCACAGCTGGGCGTCAGTCAGAGGGAGGTCACGCACCATCACAGTGTGACACGCGGCTCCACCACGCATCCCCAGCTCCCACACGTGCAGTTACCAGTGGGTGAGCCTGGGAAACCAAGCCAGTCCTCAGAAAGAATAAAAGGTCTGTTTTAATTGCCCAGTAAAATACATTGCAAATCATTAGTATCTTATAAACAGAAACATTAAGTTACAAATCTGTGTTAAAAATTGCAGTTCTGTGCAGCCTAATAGCTGTGTGTCCCAAGGTTTGGTTTTTGTAACATTTTCCCCCACCATTTTTGTGACAAGTCATGTTACCATCTGCCATCAGTCGGTAGGTCTGAAGGCCAGTATTTGAAAGAAGAGCAGATACGGGCACAAGGTCTACGTGTTCAGACAGTGCTTTCCAAGTCTCCAAGGTGAACTGCTCCCCATCAGGGGCCCCAACCCCTGCAGAAAAGCACCCTCCACTGCCTGGAAGCTTCTAGGAGCTTCAGAGACACTGAGACCCAGAGGCACGTTCCCTGGGGACCATGGAGGGCCTGCGACTGGCTTCTGGCGGTGCATCTTGTTCCCGCTGTCGCTCTGCTGTGGCGCCCTCCCCTTTGATGGTACAGGTCTAGATGTTTGAGGTACTTGATATCAAAGAGCTCATTAGAAGCAGTCCTTTAAAAACATTAAGAAAACCAGCTTGAAAATAACGTACATTTCTGTCTTAAAAATCTCCCCCAAACTCCCACACAGGGCAGCCAGTGCGGGTTCTACTTCGAAGCCCCGCAGATGGCAAAACAACAGCTCTTGCTTGAAGGGGGACTGTGTGGACACCCGGCCCGCCGCTGGTGCTGGCAGTGTCTGCAGCCACGGGACGGGACCCCAGCGTCGGGGACGAAGGGCAGACTGCAAACCCCACCCAAGTGCTCGCTGCAGAGGACCCCGTCTCTCCAGAACTTCAAGAGCATCCTCGAATTGTGATCTTCGTGCAGCCATGCACCATGAAGCCACGAGTGGACCTTCCAGCCAGAACAACACCGCCGTCAAGGCTGAAACCGGAGGGCCGCCTGCCCACGGCCGCCAGAAGCCAGGCTCGTGGGAGACAAACCACGCTACTGACGTCCGGTCTTGTGGAAGCGGGAGGTGAAGGAAGCGTGCCCAAGGGCTCCGGGGCGCAGGCACCGCAGAGCCCAGCGGGGCGAAAGCGCACGGACACGGAAGCGGAGCGCTGCAGAGGGCGCGGCGGCCCCGGCGCCTCGCTCCAGGAAGGCCAGCTCGGGCCACCGGCCACCAGTGTGAGCAAAGTGCACAATGGCCACACACACAGGCCCGCAGAGCCCGGTGCGCGTCATCTGTGTGAGCTGGAGGGTGCGGGCCCCTCTCCCTGCGGCTCCGCCTCACGTCTCTCCTCTGCCCCCGCCTTCGGGGCTAGCGGCTCTCCTGGGCAGCTCCTTACAGGGCGGCCTGCGGGCTTCAAATGGAATGGGTCGAGGTCTCAGACTGCTGCCTGATGTAGCTCTGGAAGCTCTTGTCTCCGATGGGGTGCTCCCTGCCAAGGGGGGACGGGGGAGAGGAGAAAGTGAGGCACGGTCCCCCATCTGCATGTTTTAATACTCTGTTCCGTGTGGTACATACTCATTGCAGTAAAATGAAAACCATGACATGCAAAGAAAAAAAAGTTAGCTAGAAATCACCTATAGACGTGTAGGTGTGGCCTGGAGAGAGGCAACTGTGTGGACTTCTGGCCCAGGAAAGTCTAATTTCAGAAGCAAGTGGGCTGGGGGCAGGGGGCACCAGGGGCAGGGGGCTCTGGGGGCAGGAAGGTCTGGGGGCAGGAGGGTCCGGGGGCAGGAGGGTCTGGGGGGACAGGAGGGTCTGGGGGCAGGAGGGTCTGGGGGCAGGAAGGTCTGGGGGCAGGAGGGTCTGGGGGGGCAGGAGGGTCTGGGGGCAGGAGGGTCTGGGGGCAGGAGGGTCTGGGGGTCAGGAAGGTCTGGGGGCAGAAGGGTCTGGGGACAGGGGACTCTGGGAGGCAGGGGTCTGGGGGCCCTGGGGAAGGGTGGTGCTGTCCCCAGGACACTGTCCAGCACATCCTGGGGAGTACAGTCAGGCCCCCCTGAGAGAGACGGGAAGCCTGGCGCATTGGTCCTGGCTGCACGCAGGCGGCTTCAGGTCGTGCCCCGCCCCCACGGGCTCCTGTCAGCCGCGTCCCCTGCCATCTGGTGCCCAGTACTCACTGGCTCCCGTACTTGGTCTTTCTGAACTTGTCCCTCTTGTACTGGGCGTGCTCCTGCTCCAGGGCCCCCACCCCGCTGATGACCTGCTTCAGGGTCTTGTAGGTCTCCTGGGGGTCGTCGATGATGAACGTGGAGTACTCCTCCTGCTCGGGGCCGTCGTACACTGACCTGCTCCCACAGGCCTCTGCAGCGAGGGGAGAAGGGCGGGGTCAGGCCGGAACTCGACGGGGTGGCCTGCTCAGGGAAGGGCTGACCATGCCCACGCACACCACACAGCGGCAGGAGCCAGCGTCCGAAGCCCCATCCCGGCCAGCCCATCTCCTGGGCAATCGCACCTGTCCCCGCCCCCCCTTCACCAAGCCGCGGTCTGCTCCTGGACGCTCCGCCTGGCTGGGGTCACCCGGGTCGCTCTGGGGAAACGACCTCAAGGAAAGCCCCCTCTTAGACAGGGGGTGCCTGGACTTCACTCACTCCGGTCACCCAGCATTTACGTGCACACCCCATGGCTAGACACGTGGGCACAGGGTGCGTGAGAAGCCATCCTCACGGGCGCCACTTCTCAGCCATTCTGTGCTAGCAGCTTCCCAGGACCTCTGTCACCCCACCTGCTAAACAGGTGACTTTCTCATCTGACCACCTCACCTCTGCTGAAGACCAGGCTGTGGCCTTCAGGCATCCATAGGAGGCACCAATCATCTGGGCTGGGCCCACCTCACCAGCCTGTTCCCTATTACCTGAGCTGGGCCTGACCCCCCAGCCTGTCCCCAGTCACCTGAGCTGGGCCTGACCCCCCAGCCTGTCCCCTATTACCTGAGCTGGACCTGCTCCCCCAGCCTGTCCCCAGTCACCTGAGCTGGGCCTGACTCCCCAGCCTGTCCCCAATCACCTGAGCTGGGCCTGACCCCCCAGCCTGTCCCCAACCACCTGAGCTGGGCCTGACCCTCCAGCCTGTCCCCAACCACCTGAGCTGGGCCTGACCCCCCAGCCTGTCCCCAGTCACCTGAGCTGGGCCTGCTCCCACCTGCCTGCCCCCAATCACCAGAGTTAAACCCTACATTCCAGGGCCACAGATAGACCAGGTAGGAAGGCATGACCTCTGTACAGCGCCCGGCCTAGCTGAGCCAGGATCTGAGGGCTCCTCATCCTGTCTGTACTGCTGTTTCATTATCACCAAAGCTCTTATGTATGCTTTACTGTCTTTACTTCCAAACCAGGAAAAATCCCCTCTTACTGAGAAATCACAAGTCTGTACGAAGGAAAATTGGGAAGATTTAAAGTTTCAAAGAAAAAGAGAATCTGATGTGAGAAAGATAAGCAACTGTAAATATGAGAAGAAAGTATGCAGAAGAGGAAAAGGAGGGGAAGAGCCTGGTGGACGCCCAGGGTGTGGAGTTCGAGTTCAGTCTTCCCCTTTTTATGTAAAATGCAGGGGTATGGTCTCCAGAGCCAGACTGCCTGGGTCCCCTCCCCAAAGCCCCCACTTGCGGTAACAACCTGTCCTTGAGCAGTTTACTTAAGTCCGAGCCTTAGCAAACCCTTCTGGAAAATGGGGACACCGGTGTTCTGAGAGTGTACTGCACCAGGGCCTAGCAGTACGTGCGAGTAGTTATAAAGACAGAGTTATAAAGACAGAGGGACGCAGAAGAGGGTCACGGCCAGCACGGACAGGTCAGAAGGGACACCCCCTGAATAAACACATGTCCACGACCAGGTGACCAGAAACAGAGATCTCACTGCCAGGGCGCTGCTGGCTGGGTCAGCAGACACCTTCAGAACGCAAGGATCTGCAGCTTCCTGAAGCCTTCGGGGCCCCGAGCAGAGGGAAGCGGGCAGGGGTGGCACTGGGGGAAGGACACGGGTGGCTGGGGCCAGTCACCTGCTCTGACTGCCTCACGGGGGTTGTTTCATCAGATCCTGGATTGACCCAGCACCACCTCCACCCCATCTCATGGAAGAGGACATCAGGGCTCATCTCTGGACAGAGGCCTGGGAATCCTGCACAAACCCAACACAGGGCACTGAGGAGTGTGGCCCACGTGGGCCAGTGCTGACAGTGACTGAGAGGCCCAGACCCAGGAGGCGGCCCGAGGCCCGACGGCAGGTGGGTGAGGCATGGGCTCAAGTCCTCCCACGAACCTTCCCAGCACCCTGATAGATGGGCACTCGTGCCTACTCTGCAGAGGAAGAAGCCAATTGCTATCCCAGGTAAGGGCGGTGACCTGCTGTCACCCTGAAAACCTCATCTACACCATTCTCAGTCCAGTGGCCCAAGCCTGGTGTCAGCTCTTCAACCAGGACCCCGTCAGGCCCCATGCTGACTCTTCCCTGCCTGATGCACTGGGTTTCGCTGTCAGCAGACTGCAGGTTAAAGAACCAGGGGTGCCCAAAGAAGGATGGCCAGCTGAGTCCATGCCATGTGAGGGAGAAGGAGATCGCACCTTTCCTCGTGCACAGGCAGCTGTAACAGCGTCCTCCGAGCACCAACGGCTGCCATGCCCAAGAGGAAGGCACTGACGATGTCAGGTGGACATAAGCCCCACGGTCCCAGGGCTCAGGAAAACAGTTTGACTTATACTAAAGGGATAAGTATTTGAGATACTAAAGGGAGTGTCTCAAGATGATTAGATTTTTCTGACAGCGATCTGCCTCAAAGAAGCACTGAGGCTCCGGGCAGAGGCCTGAGGACTGTCTAAGAAGCTGAGTCCATATTACAATGCCTGGGTGAAGTATAAGGTGTCCAATCATGTTGATGCTCTATGAACACCTGTCCATATGATTCCTATATTGGGAGGGAGCCTGAATGTGCAAGACCTCTTTCCATTACTGCCCATCCACCATCCACCCATCATCTGTCATCAATCTATCCATGCATCCACCCATCACCCATCTACCTATCATGGATGCCTATCCATCCATTCGTCCAGAAAACAGGTATTCAGTTCCTCCTTGAATTCAGGCACTGGGGTAAATAAGACCTGCCTCTGCTCTCAAAGGGTCAAGTGTATTTAAAGGTGAACAGATCAGAGATGATTATCATGGTAATGACAGAGATAAACCAGGGTCAGGAAAAGCTCCCCACAGGGGAGAAACACAACAAGCAGGTACAAGTCAGATGAAGGGGCCTGGGGGTGGCATCAGGGGCAAAGGCCCAGGGGCTTGCCATGTGTGATACTGGAACATCCCAGGCAGCCTGGCCTCGCTGGAAGCAAGAGGGAGGCCATGCATGGAGAGAGGCTGCTGGAAGATGGCTGGTAATGCGAGGCTTAGTCAGCCTCCTTCACGAACCCCACACGGTGGCTTCAACCTCTGTAAGAGTTCGTGATGCTACCCTCCTTTGTCCTGTCCTCAGTGGGTTGGGAAGGGGCTGCCATCCCTTGGCTCCCCCACAAATGTCTTTGCCACCCTGAGGCCTGGTGTAGCCCCAGGGTCACTGCTGCACGGCCTCCGGGAACCCTGGATCCAGGTGCCATGTGTGGCACTTGCTAGAGGGGACCCACTGGGGTGGGTGTGGCTATGCACACGTGCACGGTTGTATGAGTGTGTGTGTACACGTGCTGTTGTCTATGCATGTCTGCACACCAGCATACATTCTAGTGTGTAGACACGGTTGTCTTACACGTGTGTGTGCATGTCTGTGCGGCTGAGTGTGCACCGTGTGCCCAGAACAGGGCATGCACCCCGAGGAATGTGGTCTGAGGCTGCACGAGGGGACTGAGCTCACCATCAGGAAGCTCACCGTGGCAGGAGCACCAGCGCTGGACCCAATAAGGTCCAGGCTGAGGCCACCACTGACGCCACCGGGTTAGAGGAGGGTGGAGACAAGGGAAAATATCCGACGGGCCTATTTCCAGGTCCACTGAGCTCCTCTTCACATCTGGAGTGTGGATCCCAAATCCCTGAGTGTGGCTCTGAGAACGACCAAACCCACCCAGGGACAAGGTGGCTCATCTGCCTCCCAGTGGGCTCTTCTCATGTCGGCCCTCCTGAGTTACAGCCCTGACGAGTCGGGGGCCACCTATCTGCCCCTGCATCCGAGTTACAGCCCCGACCAGTCGGGGGCCACCTATCTTCCCCTGCATCCGAGTTACAGCCCCGACCAGTCGGGGGCCACCTATCTTCCCCTGCATCCGAGTTACAGCCCCGACCAGTCGGGGGCCACCTATCTGCCCCTGCATCCGAGTTACAGCCCCGACCAGTCGGGGGCCACCTATCTGCCCCTGCATCCGAGTTACAGCCCCGACCAGTCGGGGGCCACCTATCTGCCCCTGCATCCGAGTTACAGCCCCGACCAGTAGGGGGCCACCTATCTGCCCCTGCATCCGAGTTACAGCCCCGACCAGTCGGGGGCCACCTACTCTGCACTCCTAGGCTCTGTAGGACAGCCAGGCAGTCACATGTGGAGGACAATCAGGCTGCATAAACATTACAGCTGGAGCCCCCGACGTGCACCTGCGTCCACACACACGCACACGTCCCTCTGGACTCTGGTATTTGGGTGTATGGAAGGTTGTTACATGCAGGATCTTCTCAAGATTTGGCAGTTTGGAGGTTGCAAATGAAATTATCTACGGAATTTCTTATTAAAGTAATTCCGCTACAGAGCTGCCTCACCTGAAGAAAGCACTTCCCCTTGGAGCTGTGAACTGCATGTGGGCCACACAGGCCCAGGGCACCTGTCACTCTGCGGAAAGTTCCAGGTGTCACTATCACCTGCAATCACGTGTGACGATGCCCCAGACTGTCACCAGGACCCAGAGCTGCCTGCGATCACGTGAGATGATGCCCCAAAACTGTCACCAGTACCCAGAGCTGCCTGCGATCACGTGAGATGACGCCCCAGAACTGTCACCAGGACCCCGAGCTGCCTGCAATCATGTAGGACGATGCCCCAGTCACTGTCACTGGGACCCAGAGCCGCCTGCAATCACAGAGATGACGCCATGACCCCGTGCTGCCTCACCTTGCATTTTCTCCAGTTTGCTCATATAGGAGTTAAAGAGGGAGTAGATGCGCTCCGTCTCTCGGTCCCCATCGATGTCCAGCTGGATGTTCGCCGGGAGGCCGCTGCCCGACAGCAAGACAAGAACAGAAAGGACAATGATGTGAATGGTGACATCCCTGTTTTTAAAGCTCCCTGAGGATGACGGAGCGATCTGACGCCGAACTCCCTCCTGATGGGGCTGCGGCGTCCGCCTGCGGCCTGTGGAATAGTCACGAGCACTGAGAAGTTACCATGCACAGCCCGAGGGCCCGGGGGCCTCAGAGCTGCTGCGACAGCAAGACAACAAGTCAGACTTGTTTTGCCATGAAAAGAAATGGCCTGGAACAAAAAGCCTCCCCCTGTGTTGCACTTGGGCCGCATGCCCTGAAGGGTGGGGTCCCTGCTCCTCTGCGAGCCTGCCAGGCGGCTGGAGCTCCTGCCCGAGGGCACGGCGTGCCCCACTCCCCACACACAGCACTCAGCCTCTGCCGGGTGGGGCCTGGCAGGGGTTTCCCCGGGTCTCTGCTGTTTCGTCTGTGTGACCCCCCAGCCCCAGCCCCGGGAGCTCTGCGGGTCTTCCTCACACCCACACCCACACCAGACAAGTCACAGGGGGCACCCAGGCCTTCTTCCAGAGCTGGCAGAGGGGAGCCCCTCAGGGCCCGCAGGCCCAGCTAACGGGGGGCAGGGAGACAAGGGCAGACCTGGTTTCCACAGGAGGGAGGGCGTGCAGATGACAGTTGCAGAAACTAAAGTGGGTGTGAGCAGGTGGTGGGGAACTTCCAGTCTCTTCTTAGAAGAAGCCCAACAGCACCCTGCCCTGGGGGTCTCCCCGCAGCAGGGAGCCCCCTCCTGCACTACCACCCACCCCCAAGGATCCCTAGGACCCCGGGCAGAGCCCAGACTCCTGACAGTCGACAGAGCCCTCGTAAGGATGCACTCTCTCGTGTGCAGACACCCCAACAATCGCAAGAACAGCCTAGGAGACTCAGCTGTGCATCCGTATTTGACAGCCAACACAGCCTCTTGGCCACACTTCCCCGTAGAGTGCACAAGCCAGGCAACTGTGCCTGGCCACACTGTGGCTGTGAGACAGGGAAACTGAAGGGACCCCATGAAAACATAGCCATTTTTTTCCTTTGTTCCTTTCCAGCTTCTCTTCCTGCTGGGGCCTGCACGCCTGCCCCACTCTACACGTGCCTTGTAATGCACATAGCTGTGTCCTCCTTGTAAGGGACATGGAAGTGATGCCATCTTCGGAGTCTTCCAGCACAGCAGATAACCGCTACGGAGCGACCAGGCAGGGCTGTCATAACTGTTCCCCAAGACCACTGACTCCAAACACCTTGATGCCAAGACCCCTGGCTTGAGGGAGTGACCTATGACAGACACCCGGACCCTGTCCTTGCGCTGACCAGTACGAGTCCACAGTTGTCAATAAAACCCCAGGCCCTAAGTGAAGAGGAGACCCCTGCTCCTTCCCAGAGTCTCCTGGACACTCTGTCCGTCTCTCTCTGTATAATCAGGAAACTGTGTTCTCACTTCCTGCTGGCTCATGTTTGATTTACATCCTGCATGAGCCCAGGACCCTCTTGGCTGGTGCTGTGGGACCCTCTGTCTGGGTGCTCGGACCTGGCATCAGCGGGGAGGGCTCCGGGGGCCGGAGGGGCACACACCTACCCAGTGCAGGGGGAGCAGCCCGGAGCCGTGTCCGAGGAGGCCCTGCAGCAGAGCCAGTGGCCGTTCAGGTAGGCGGAGGGGTGGTAGACAGTGAGGCGTTTCTTGTTGCACTGGCTCACTTTGGTGAGGATGTCGATCCAGGCCTTGGCCTCCACACAGTTGTTGGCCTGGATGTACAGAGCTCGCTCGGGTTGGATCACCTGGAACATCTGAGGAGGCAGCGAAGAGGCTCAGAGAAGCCACACAGCAAGGCATCCGGCCCGAGCCCCGGGGTCATTATTCTCCATGCGGACAAGCCCAGGGGCTGCGGAGGGAGGGTGGAGCCCAGCCAGAGGCAGGAACAAGCCCAGGGGCCGTGAAGAGAGAGGCAGAGAGAGGGAGGGACGGAGGGTCCAAAGCAGGCTCTGTGCTGAGAGCAGAGAGCCTGATGTGGGGCTTGATCTCATAAACCATGAGATCCCGACCTGAGCCGAGGCCGATGGTCAACTCACAGGCTGCCCGGGCACCCCGTTTCTTCTGACCTTTAAGCTGGGGCGGGCTTTTGCTCCAGGTGTGTCAGCGCTTATCGTGCTCACCTTCCGTCCTTACCCACACCTGCCTTAGGACCGTCGTGTGTGCTGTTGTGTCCATCCCACCCCCCCGACCACCGGGGGCTCGTCTTCATTCCTCCAGGTAGGCGTTACTTCCTCTGTGAGGTTTCTTAGAGCCTCCGCTGCCTTTCTTATTAGTCATTCGACAAACATCCCTGCATACCAGGCACTGCCCTATATTCTAGGGACATGGTGTGGCCCAAACAGAGTTTCTATCTGCATGAACTTCCAGCCAGCAAGAAGGATAAAAAAGAACACAAAGTGCAGGGGCTGTGTGTGTGTGTGTGTGTGTGTGTGCTTGTGTGTTGGGGGAAGGGTCAGGAGAGAAACTTCTAAATAAACAACCCAGCTCAGGTTAGAAAGATGACCAAGAGATAATTAAGGGGCGCCTGGGTGGCTCCGTCAATTAAGCATCTGACTTCGTCTGAGGTCATGATCTTGCGGTTCATGAGTTCGAGCCCAACATCAGGCTCTGTGCTGACAGCTCAGAGCCTGGAGCCTGCTTTGGATTCTGTGTCTCCCTCTCTCTCTACCCCTCCCCTGCTCACACTGGGTCTCTCTCAGTCTCTCAAAAATAAATAAAAAACTTTTAAAAAAGAGATAATTAAGCTGAAGGGGAAAGCAGAAGATGGAGAGTCCCAGGCAGAAGGACCACTAAATGCAGAGGTCGTGGGGCAGTGGGGACAGATGGTGCAGAGGTCCTGAGCCCAGGGAGGGCCGGGTGCTCCCAGCAGAAGCAGGCCTTATGCATACATGCACTGTTGCACAGGCTTCAGACTGCATGAATCTGTGTATGGCTGCGATCCCCCGTGGAGGGTGAGCCTCTAGACAGGGGAGTTTTGTCTTGATTGTCCTCACAAACTGGCCCCTCTGACGGGGCTCAGCGAGCCGCAGGCCCGTCTCCCAAACAGACACCGGCCTGTTAGTTAGTTCGCACTGTACGAACTGGCTCTGAGGAAGTCAGCAGGGAAAACTAGCTGATGAATAAATGATGCTAAAATTAAGTGATTTTCTAAAGCTAAACTGAGGGCCTGATGGAATGAAAAGGCTCACGCCTGTTTCTAGGACACTGTCCACACTTGCACCCTGCTGTAACATCTGGGGCGCCCCTGGCCGAGGGCGTGATGCTCCCAGCCCACCTTCCTGGAGGCGGCGGCCTCTGTGCCCGGGAAGAACCGGGTGCAGACGCCCAGCACTACGGGACGCGGTGTCCCAGATCCCGGAGCAGGTGTATGGCGTGAACCCTCAGGTCCAGGAAAACATACCCGTCTGCCATGGGGCACCTGCTTGCCCAAGACACTGCCTCAAATGGTTCTGCGAGCGAGACAAGAAACCCGCTCAGGACAGTGCGGGAGCTGCGTCTGTGGGCTGGGCCGTTCAGCGGTGGGCAGACCCCTCCATCCACCCAACCAGCTCCCCCAACTGGGCCGTGGGGTCAATCTCAGACCCCGACGGAGATGTGAGCTCATCACGACTCCCCCTCTACGACCCCGGGCCAAGACCAGCCCTGAAACAGACCTGCTGTGTCCCCCACCAACAGTGTGGCCTTAGACACCTACTGACTCCTGACTGATGAGCTGTGCCGATAAGCAAGAGACAGCCAGACACAGGAGACAGAAGACAGGTCAGAGCCCCTGTCAGCTCCCAAGAGGCAGAACCTGCATCGGGGGCTGGTCCTCTCAGCCCTCAACAGGGCACGCGCAGCAGAGACTGCGGGGTGACACAGTGTGCAAGGGCCATCCTCCCGGGGCCACTGGTCACTGTGGAGGGCTCCCGGGGTCTGAGGAAGGTTCTCAGGCAGCACAGAGCCGCTGTAACATGTAATTCTCCTGAGGCCCCAGCCCAGTCTGTGGCTGGCAGGGAGGCAGCACTCAGGAAGACACAAACAGTGAGACAAACGACCAGAGATACAGGGAATGGAGGGCTGGGCCTAGGGCTGCAGAGGGACAGCGGGGTCAGGCTCTCAGCACAGACAGTCAGGTCTGAGTTCCTGGCCCCCACGTGATGGTGTGAGCTCCTGCAACCCCCGTCCGAAGCCACTGTGAGCCTGCCTGCCGTCTGGAGACTGGGCCAGAGTTGTGACTCCCCCTCGAGAGGGAGGGTATTGGGGAAGAGGCCTCCCAGGACATTGTGCAAACCCCAGACCTGGTGTCCAAACAGCTCTGTGACCTCAGAGAGCACGGACTCCAGGGTCCAGAAGGCGCCCATGCTGAGCACACACAGAGAGCATGGACTCCAGGGTCGGGAAGGCACCCCCGCTGAGCACACACGGAGCACCAGCTAAGCTACCTGTTTTCCTGGACCACCACTGCTTCCAGAGCACAGGAAGTCATCTGTCCGAATCTGTTTATTTGTTTGCTTGTTTGTTTGGGGGGGAGAGGCAAAGAGAGAGGGATAGAGAGAAAATCCCAAGCAGGCTCCACACTGTCAGCATAGAGCCCGACTCAGGGCTCGAACTCACAAACTATGAGATCATGACTTGAGCGGAAATCAGAAATTGGGCACATAACCAATTGAGCCACCGAGGTGTCCCATCATCTGTCTGAATTTTAAAGGGAAAAAACTTTAAAATAGGCAACACCCTGAGAACACCTCTCTCCTTAAGGGACTATGTCTTCTTGTGCAAGAGCTTCCAAATTACCACCCTTAGTTTAGACCATTGGAGGGTCCGGCTTGACTGGGCCTTCCCCCAGGAATGCACCGTAACTCAACACATCGTAAGGGAATGAATCGATGCTGAAGAGGCCTTGGGATGGTGCTTTATACACCGTTAGCTGAGCAGTGAGCCAGGAGCTGGGAGTATGGGCATCACTGCAGGCTTGGGCACGGAGGCTGCAAGGGGCCCGCCCCGCCCCCACAGTGGGGCAGTCCCCCATCAGCGTCTCAGGGAGAACCGGCCAATGGGCCTCTTTCCACCCACTGCAGCCTCAGCCAGAAGTTCAGATGGACGAAGAGCTGCAGAGAAACGCCCGAACCAGGGCCTCAGGCAGAGCCCGGCTGTGGAAGGTGGAGAACACACACACTCTCCCCCAGGGGGAGCTGATGGTACCACCCTCACAGCCCCACATCACAGGCTGGGGTTTCTTTAAAGCTGGAAGGCCAGGGAATGAGCTGCAGCATTGTAATTTTTAACTTTTATTTATTATTTACTCCCCACTATGCTCTAAAAAAGACTGCAGCTGACTTGTATGAAATCAATCTAATAAAACAGAAAAATATAAAAAAGTATTTAGAAAATTAGGAACAGAGGGGCACCTGGGTAGTTCTGGGTGGCTGTCAGTTGAGTGTCTGACTCTTGATTTTGGCTCAGGTCATGATTCAGGGTCATGAGATCGAGCCCCGTGTTGAGCTCTGTGCTGTGTGTGGAGCCTGCTTGGGATTCTCCTTCCCTAAGCATGTGCTCTTTCTCTCTCTCTCTCAAAAAAGAAAGAAAATTAAGAACAAAAAACCAGAAATGGGAACAGACCAGGGAGAAAACAGGACATAACTGCAGGTTTCTGGGTGGAAACACTGGGCCCCGTGCTGAGGGCTATGGGGGTTAAGGGAGGGCTGTGGGGGTTAAGGGAGGCCTGTGGGGGTTAAGGGTGGGCTGTGGGGGTTAAGGGAGGCCTGTGGGGGTTAAGGGAGGCCTGTGGGGGTTAAGGGCGGGCTGTGGGGGTTAAGGGAGGGCTGTGGGGGTTAAGGGCGGGCTGTGGGGGTTAAGGACGGGCTGTGGGGGTTAAGGGAGGGCTGTGGGGGTTAAGGGAGGGCTGTGGGGGTTAAGGGCGGGCTGTGGGGGTTAAGGGAGGGCTGTGGGGGTTAAGGGAGGGCTGTGGGGGTTAAGGGCGGGCTGTGGGGGTTAAGGGAGGCCTGTAGCGGGTAAGGGAGGCCTGTGGGGGTTAAGAACGGGCTGTGGGGGTTAAGGGAGGCCTGTAGGGGGTAAGGGCGGGCTGTGGGGGTTAAGGGCAGGCTGTGGGGGTTAAGGGAGGCCTGTGGGGGTTAACGGTGGCCAACTGTATCCCAGGCATCTCACCACCTGAGCTCGGAAGGGACGGGAGTGACAGCGCTATTAGAAGCGCTGCCACTTCCACGGCCACACGGCGCAGCGAGGGGCCCCACCCCTCAATGACATGTGGTTCTCAGCCTTAACCCCGACCCTAAGCCTCCGTGGGGGACGGAGCCCTCTGTGGCAGGGAGCCAGGAAATAGTAGCAAAGGAATGAGAGAGGCAGGGAGCCACCGTGAATGGGCCAGAGCTCGAGAGGGACCGATGTGGACACAGCTCGGCGTGTCTCCCATGGTCACCACGAGCAAGTGTCCTGACACACCCAGGGGACGCGCTCCCCTCTGTGGGATTCCTGGCCTGAACTTACCATGGGGGACCACCTGGCCCTCCCACCCTGAGGGACACCCGCAAGAAACTGGCCCGTGCGCTTCAAAAACATCAAGGCTCTGGAACACAGAGAAAGGCTGAGGAATGTTCCAGATCAAGGACACGACAGAATGAATGTGTCCCTGGGTGCCGGCCCGGGGACACACAACACGTGTGAAGACTGATACAGGATGGCTGACGGCGAGTTGGCACTGGCCTCTCAACTTCGGTGGCTGTTCGGGCTACACATGAGGAAGTTCTTGTTTTCAGGGAACACACTAAAATATTTGTGTGGTTCAGAAAAAATATACGCACACGGAGGATGACGAAGAGATAGAAACGAAAGAATACGTTCAGCAAACGGGAAAATGCAAACAACCAGCGATTCTGGGTCAGGGGACCCAGGAGTCCTGCTCTATTCTTGCAACTTTCCAGTGAGTTCAAAACCAGACCAAAATTCAAAGTTTCAAAGAAACTCCACAGGGCTCCAGAGCCGGTCCGTGGCCTCCCGAGCTGTCAGGGAAGCACCTTCCGGCAGGTTCTGCTCGCCCCGGCCAGCCCAGGCGGGAGGAGCCAGGCTGCTGGGCTCCAGAGCGGGTGCAAGGGAGGCGGGGTGCGGGTGGGGGCCCACCGCAGGGACACTGCACTCACGTTCTTCATCTTGAAGGACTCCTCCTCCAATCTCTCCACTGCCAGAATGTTCTCAATGGGAATGCTGCACAGGGGCTGGTCTCCTGTAGCAGAGAGGGGCTCTTGAGGGGCGGGCCAGAGGCCCCCCGTGTAGGTGGGATGGTAAGCAGCAGGCAGAGCACGGGCTCGAGGGGTTTGGGGCTGGGAGGCTGCAGAACAGCCCGGCCTCACACTGTGTGCCCAGCGGGGCCCGGCGCTGCCTTCCAGGAACCCTAAACCCTCGAGCCACACGCTATTAGAAGCCAGATCTGGGGGCACACAGCCAACACGGGACCTCGGCTCCTACGCCTGGCGCCCACCTGCCCCCAGCCCTGCCCAGGCCACCCTGGTGGTTATGCTCCTGTGATAAGAAACGGCTTGCTCTGAGGGACGCTCTCCATTTCACTCCAGAAAAGCAGGCGTTTAACCCATCAGTGCCGTAAACAAGGCTCTGGGCCCTCTGAATAAAGTATGTGAAATCAAGCAAAAAGCCAATTTTTCTCGTTACCTTTGCTTTTCTGGTAGGTAAATTCGTGGTTGGTCAGGCGGAACCATCTTTTCTTAAAATTCTTCATCCCAAAGCGTTTCCGTCCTTGCGCCCTCTTAATCATGAATCTGTGTGAGCAGGAGAGGGGCTGAGGCTTGGCACATGCACCCCCCCAACAGCCCGAAGTCACGTCTGCAACATCAAAGTAACTACCCCCTTTCCATCTGTGGCGCCGGATGCAGCCTGCAGACTTCTGACATCTTATTCTACTTGCAAGTGACAGGATTAAAAATCAAAAGGCAAACATCTCTACTTTTGAAAAGTTTAGTCCCTGTGCTGGTATCGACTTTAAGTTACAAGCTGGCAAGGACACCAGGTTCATCAGACCCTGGGACGGCAGCCACCCATGGCCATTCCCACGCTGGGGACATCGACCACAGATGCCCCTGAGGGGAAAGGGCCACGGCAGGTGCGAGGTGCCTCTGGGAGGGAAAGAGCGACCGGAACACCTCCTCCCTGGCAGGGAAGAGATGCTGCAGGGGTGAAGCCCCGACGGCGGCGTGAACCATGCAGGTGGCTCAGCCCCTCCTTCCCTTCCTTCTGCCACCAGGCGTTTCTCCCCTCACATGACCCGCGGAGCACAGGCGTGGAGAAAGAAAAGTGAATAGTACCACGTCTCAGACGTGCCCTGCATGCATCCTGGTGGACCCGAGGCATGGACAAAGGCCACGCCTCTCCAGTCTGGCCACCTCTGTCCTGGGAGGCCACCAGCCACATGGGCGGAGGCGCCTCAGTTCGCCGCTGGGACGCCGGGACACGGCAGCAGACGCAGGACTTACCCTTCCTTAAGCAGGATGGGCTGCTCTATGCTCTTGGGGTCTCTTCTCCCAGAAGACGAGATCAAGTCCAAGAACTATCGTGGGAAAGAAAGCAGACGCTTAAAGAGAAAGTGGCTTGAATACACTCCTCCTCTCACAGGAAGTTCGCCAGGACGAAGTCTTTCTGACAGCACAGCAGAGACGAAGCGGCATGTGGATTTTGGACAAAAGTCCCGCCCGGAAGCTTCCGCCCGACCCCCCAGGGCGGGTCTCACGAACCTCAGCTGCTGCCTCACCTGATAGCTGCCAAGCGTCAGTAACATCTGGAGGCCTCCCTCCTCGGCCTGACTCTTCCATGACCCACCTGGGTCCCCTCCACCATCTACACATGCCCCCAGCCCTGTCCCTTTGTCCCCTTCGAGGTCCTGGCTTTTGGGAGTTCCAATAGATAAATATGCATGACTGTTTCTAAACATCCAAGAAAAAGTAAAGCTTTCCAGAAAATATTCTCCCCACATGCCATGTCTCTAACTCCAGGCCTGGGTCCCCGGGGTCTGTGACCCTGAGGCATCTGTGGGGTCACCAGGAGCAGAAGGCCAGGAAGGGCAAGGTGAGGGGTTCGCAGAATAGACAGGGCACGCCACCACTTGGGGAGAGGGACTCAGGGATGAGGTGCTGGGTCCTGAAGAGGAGTGGTCAGGGAGGGGCTGCGGAGGATGGTCGCTGACACTAAGGGACCAAATGCTCCGGACTCTAAAACAGTTCGTGGTCAGTCATGTGTTGTGTGAATTTTAACTCAATCTTTTAAAACGACTGTTTCTTAGGAAAGACGTACAACACGGGGGCAGTAAGTCTACGTTAACTGATGTGGACACTTACGTTTTTTACCGCGTCAGCGTATTTTTGCTCATTGAAGAATTCATAAAATGCAGCCATGTAGGATTCCTTAAAACTGGCCTAAAATGAAATAAGTCACTCAGCAAAGGCCCAGGAGTCTCTCGGCTCATAGCCTCAAACTGAGAAATCTAGAGGCACAGATCATGACCAGCTTCCATTGTGGGGACTCAGCGAAGGGGAGAGAGCAGGTCTCCTGGTGGTGGATGGTGAGGGCACATCGCTGCCCCAGCGCTCAGCCCGGGCACAGCCCACGGCAGCCACACAAGCCACTGAAGCTATGTTTGGGAAACCCAACTACGAGTGGGGGTTCCTCAGCTAGTTCTTGCTACAAACAACCCAACACCCCTGTCCGTGTGGACACTAACACCTGGGTTCCAGGTCTACGGAGCCTAAACTGGCACCCAGGTGAGGCTGCTCCCAGAGCCCTTCTGTGATGGGGGGCAGGGGTGGGTGGGGCTCCCAGAGCCCTTCTGTGATGGGGGCAGGGGTTGGTGGGGCTCCCAGAGACTCTCTGTGATGGGGGGCAGGGGTGCGGGGGCTCCCAGACCCCTTTCTGTGACTGGGAAGGGGGTCCCAGAGCCCCTTCTGTGATGGGGGGCAGGGGTCAGGCTACTCCCATAGCCTTTCTGTGATGTGGGAGTGGGGCGGTGGGGCTCACAGAGCCCCTTCTATGATGGTGGGACAGAGGTAGAGGCCTTCCAGAGCAGCGGTATGGGGGCTCTCAGAGCCCCTACTGCGACCAGGGCAGGGTTGGGAGCTCCCAGTGTGTGGAAGCCAGGGCAACCCTTGCAAACACGTGCAGGGGCTTCAAAAGAACCACCCATGACACTCCGCCTCCAGGGAGCACCCTTTTCACATGCAGGTCACTTTACTGTTTCTGGACGTGCAAGGATGTGGGCTTCGTGCAGACCTCAGACCCAGCACGTTCTGCCAAGTGTCCAGCCACCACAACCGGCATGGATGGACAGAGAAGAGCAATCAGGCCCTGCGGCTGGCCGGCCACCACACAGTTCTTACTCCAGTTCACAGACAGCCAGGCGTTTCCCCAGAGGTGGCTGCTTGTCTGCCAGTGACCAGACCCCACAAAGAAGAGAATGAGGAGTCAAGCCTTTCCAGACAGAAGGGGCGGCCCCACGCCACCAGATCAGTCGTCCCTGTGGATCCAGCCTTGGGCTTTAGCCCCAGGGAACACGCCCGCTGTCCTCGGACCTGCCTGTCAGGACCCTCGTTCCTGGGGCTGTGAGGCCTGGGGCAGACCCTCAGGGCCAGGAAGGACGGCACACGGTGCTGCGGGCTGCCCATCAGGGCGCAAGCCTGCCTCAGGCACGGACGTCCTCAGATGCTCAAGGCCAAGGCTGCTGCGAGGTCTCTGAATGCCGACACGGCATGGATGCACTAGCCACCCCTTCAGATGATGGTAACACAGCACAGGCTACTGTACTATCCCTCCTCCTCTCCCGCTGCATGTCGGTCCAATGTGACTTCAAATCCACTTATTTATGACAAAAATGAAACTGTGGCGGGGAGACGGCCTCCCCCGTAGCTGGTAAGCAGCCGGACCTCACTGGACATTTGTCAGCAGAAACATGGAAGCTCTGGCCCAGAGATACCAAGCCTGTGAGGGCTTCAGCTCCTCCCCTTGGCCGTGTTCCCTAGCAACAGTTGCTCTAGCAACAGGGACTTTTACTTCTGTCTGGGGCCTGTGTCATTGCTAACCCTTCCTGGGAAGACACTGAATTTGGACTTTATTCCTTCCCCCTTCCCCTCCCCCACCAACCGCCTTGCCTGGAGCCCAGGGGCATTAATCCATCACTGGTTCGGGCTCTGTGATTTCTTTATTGTTTACTAAGTCATGCTACCGGGCTTCTGAAATATCATTGTGAATTACAATTCCCACTGTGAACCTGCGTTAAGTACATGATTCACAAAAACGAACTCAGTCTCTGAGGATAATTTGCCCCCAAACAAAATAATCTCAAAAAGCAAAGTTTCACAGCTCAGCAGAGCAAAGAAGTGCTTGCACGCTGCTGGAACGTGCTCTTTATGAGCACGCTGGGTGGGCTTTATCGTTCCTTCTCCTTATAACTGTGTTGAACACACACTCTTTTGTGTTAAAAAGAGGGAATGGTTAAATGACTTACAGATTTTGACTTGGACAAGCTGCCAAGCGTCTGAATGGTCTTGGAGATCAGCGTCAGCGTCCGTGACGTCTGCGGGTCCTGTCAGGCGGGAAGGGGCAACGTGAGCTTCCTTTCAGTTTTACAGAAATGCTGCGATTGAACCCAGGATCATACAGCCACACGTGGATGACGTCACCTAAAAGGCCCCCAGCGCCAGCGTGCGGCCGGCAGGTAACAGGAAGCAGGCAAACACCGGATTTGGGGAAGGTCCCTCTAGGTTCCTCGTGCACGTGCTCTGGAACCTGCTCACAGTGCAGGCTCCGGGGCCACCGCGGACTGGGCCTCAGGGCGTCCACACGGCCCCCGCCGGGCGCCCCGCAGTGCAGGGGAGGACAGTGAGGCCGACGCCAGCCAGGAAGGCACAGGGGCATCTTCAAAGGAGCAGTTCTGAGTCCCTAAGGCCCGGGATGTCCCGCTTGCCCTTCACAGGGTCTGGAGGTTTAATCTAAAACCAACAGATGGAAAGGGCCCCTTGAACCCCCCGCCCTGCACTTGCTGCCAAGCGCAGTCACCTCCCGGCGCTCTCCACGGGCGCATCACTGGTGTGGGCGCCCAGGGTCCGTGGCCCTGAGGAGCTCCGTGTTTGCTGACTGACTGCATATATAACTGAATGTATCCAAGATCATAAATGTTCCATTTTCCTCAGGGTGGGAGTGGGAAGTCCTGGTCACAGCATCCAACTGTGTTTACAGGCACTGCTTAGAAAAGCTGCTAAGCCTTCCTGTGGATAAAGGGGTTCAGGGCATGAGGCTGTTCACAGTCCGGCTGCCCCCCTGGCCCCGCTTCCTCCAGCGCACCTGGGGGCTCAGGCGGGTGCGTCTCCTGGTTGACGGGGGCGGACGCTCACTTACCGTGTGGTGAGGCGTGAGCTGGAAGAGGTTGGGGGACAGGATGGCGGGAGCGAAAAACCTCAGGAAGATGAAGCTGCTCACGGCGGTGTACCTCACGTCCAGGTCGTCTGTGGCCAGGACACAGACCAGCTCAGCAGGCCCTCCGCGGGGGACGGCGGTGAGCCTGGGGGTCTGTCCGGCGACCCTGCCCCTCCCGAGGGTCTGCCCTGCGCATCGTTGCTCTCCCGTCACCATTAGTAAGAGGACCTCTTGGTGGTCAGGCTCTAACAGATAGGAGCTGGCTCACCAGATGGCCAAAGTGAGGCTCAGGGGTGCTCGGTAACACCCCCACCCCCGCCCCCGCCCCCGCCCGGCAGCAGGTGCTCTTCACGGGCTCTGAAAGCAGGGTGTCCTGTCCAGAGTAGGCGCAAGGCCAAGGCTCCACTGCTGGAGAAGCTGGGAGGTGCCCCGGTGGGTGGGTGGGAGGGAGGGGGTTTCTGTCAGGTCCATGGGGACTGCGCTGGGGCTCAGAGGTCCCCTGAGGCAGCGGGACACGCCTGCGCTGACTCATGGATCAGAGCCATGGATGGGGACAGGATGAAGAGCCAGGCACCACACCACCCCCTCCTTAGCCTTCTGAGCCCCGGCCTAAGCCAGTGCCCAGCCTGCATCCTGGGCCTCGCTTAACCTGACACTTCCCACCAGGGCAGGACACTGCTGTTTTGCCCACGGGTAAGTCTGCACAGGGTGGCTCCCGGTGCCTCCCTGAGGACTTGGCAGAATTGGAAAGGGGATTAATCCCTGCGATCCATCTTGCTTCAACTCCAGAAAGGGCTCAACTGGTCTTTCTTGAGAATTCAACAAGGCTGACCTGCATGACATGGGGCGCTGAGCATGGCCTCGACCTCCCCATCAGAACCGCTGAAAACCAGGGATGGTGGCTCCTCTGACGGGAGAGGCCCAAACTCAGAGAAATTCATGCTCTGTCCTGAATAAACCACTGTGACAAACCCTGGCCAGCTGGCCTTCCTCGCGGGGGCTGAGTCCAGGCTCTCCCGGGGCAGCTGCACATGGGCTCTGGCGCTGACCCAGCGGCTACGGCTTAGAACCACCTTTACGTGGACTCTGAGCATCTCTTCCCTGCCTTTCGGTGCCCAGTGAGGGGCTGTGGGTATTTCTGGAAGGGGGGGCTCACCCTGGAAGCGCTTGGCCGCTGCCTCCCGAAGAGAGAAGAAAATGTCACACATGACAGTGGGGCAGCTCACTCCCGACTTGGTGATGACGCTGAAGATGCGGTCAACATACTGCCGAAGATTCTCCTGCAACGGGATGCAGGGGGGACACCTGACTGCGCCTTGCGGGTCCCAGGTCGGCCGCGTGGAGCACTATGACCAGGCCCTCTCGGGCACCACAGAGTCCCACGGGGAAATACGGGAGCTCTGGGGTGCAAACAAGCACCCCCTCCTGGTAACTGGACACAGAGATACAATTCCCTGGAATGCAGCCCCCTGGCGGCCAGAAGTCTTTTCTCTGAAGGCATGAAAGGGACTTAGCATGACCTGGACAAATCATATGAAAGATTAAAACATGAAAGTGACCTGTCACATCAGAGAGTTTTGCTGTTTTAAAAAACAGGACACCACTCTGCACGGACCCAGCTGGAGGCGGCCCGGGTTTGGGACCCAGGTCTGTTGCAGCTGGAGGACAGACCAGGCCGAGAAGAGGCCAGGTCGTGAGGCCAGCCTGGTGGGGAGGCTCTGGTGCCCCCGGGAGAAGGGAAGGTGCAGGAGCCAAGCATGCCAGGCTGGGAGGGCGCTGGTCAGCACAAGGTGGCAGACTGGTGGTGCCCTTCACAGCCGCTGAAATGGCCAGTCTCCCCACCACAGGCTCCGGGGGGCGTCCTGTGGGGCACGTCCCAGTGGGGCCCCCACCCGAAATGCTAGGAGGTGCAGAGCACCCAAGGTGGCCCCGGGCCCCAATCCTACACAGGGGTGAATGGCTCCAGAGGGTGTTGAACAAACCAGAAACCCTTACCATGTTGTTCTCGAGGTTTTCTCCATCTTTCAGCTTCACAGGGTCAATTTCACAGGATTTGTGGCTCTGGCATATCTAGAAGAGCATTTGGGACAAGGAGTGAGCGACACAAAGTCCAGGGTCACAGGCAAGTGCAGGTCGGGGGCCTCAGGCTCAGGACGGACATCGGGAGCCACAGCCAGCCTCAGAGGCGGCGGGACGAGGGCCTTCTTCACTTGAAGGCCCTTCCGGGTCAGCTCACGCAGCATCAGGCTTCATGGAGTTTAAACATGTGATTACTTCAGTGCGGCCAGGCCTTCGCCCGCAGGCCAAGCTGTGTGATTTTAATGCGAGTTTAAACTGCCTCATGTTGCAAAGAGCCTGCGTTTTATGAAGCTGTCTGGGCAATGCTGCTCAGGATCCTGTCAGAGGTCAGAGCCACGTGGGAAGGAAGCGTGTGGTGAAGGGCTGTCCACAGCCTAGAGGCCGCAACAGATAATCGGCTCACAGATTCAGGGGTGCCCATGCCTAAAAGAAAGGGGTGTCCTCGAAGAACCAGTTTTTCTCTTGCACATCCTTTTGTCTTTACTGGAATGATGGATTTTCTGAAGTAAGCATTTTTTTAACATTTATTTTTGAGAGAGAGACAGATCATGAGTGGGGGAGGGGTAGAGAGGGAGAGAGACACAGAATCTGAAGCAGCTCCAGGCTTCAAGCTGTCAGCACAGAGCCTGACATGGGGCTCGAACTCACGAGCTGTGAGAGATAATGGCCGAAGTTGGACACTTAACCGAATGAGCCACCAGGTGTCCCTGAAGTAAGCATTTTCTTACTTGGAGAAAATGAGGGAGATTTTGGAAAACACATGGAAGGTCCCTGTGGGGAGGCTGGGAAGGAGGCGACGTTAAAGTCCCAGGTCTTCACACAGGGGTCACCCTGTGTGCCACCTTCTCTGCATCTGCCTGTCGACCACAGGGACGCACCAGTGTGGCAGGGGAGGGGGGTCCTTCACCCCCGTTCCTGCGGGACCCCCGTGCCGGCTGGGACCCGGACTCACCTCTTCTATGGTGGGCTTCAGGGTCACGTGCAGGTAGTGCATCCCTGCGAGCTTCATTGTCTCGTCGATGCACTTGGATGTCAATGAGTTTCCTCGGAAGATGGTGTTGGGGTCCCTGTAAAACAGTGTTGGAGGCAGTTCTCTTTCAGGTAACAAGGTGTCAACAGAAGCAAGGCCTGTGAGCACCTGTCCTTGGGGGAAGAGGCCCGCTCACCCTGGCCAAGGAGACCGCCCCAGGGACTCCACAGCTGGGAATGCTGGCCCCCAGCCCTGCCTTCGTGACAAGCCCTACGCTCAGCAGAACATCCACACACCCACTGCCTCGCCCTCGTGAGGGTGGGTTCTGCACCAAGTTCACGCCTCTAAGGACCAGGCCGGGGTCACATAGCAAGTGAAGCAAGACAGCGACTGTCTCAGGCTGTGCTCCACGCCTTCTCTCACCTAGGGTGCGTTCTGGATCTTTCTGAACCAGGAGCTCCAGGGAGAGATTCTTCTTGGCAGAATCTACCCCCATGGAGTGGGCAGAGGTCCTGGGGCAGCAGCGACCCAGCCCCCCGCTGCGGGCCCAATAGTGAGCCTGAGCCCGCCCCCAAGGCAACTACAAGTGGTGCCCTTGCTCACCCGCTTCTCCCTCACACACCTCAGGATTTCCAAGTGAAAAGGTGTGCTGCTGAGGACCGGTAAGTGTGTCTCAGGAAGAAAACCTCAGCCCGTACGGGTCTCCTTAGCCGGCCCAGCCCCGGGCTCTGACCAGTGCAGAGGGAGACACCTGCTGCCCAGGTCACCCGGCCCCGCCCGCGCCCGGCCGCTCACTCACTGGGTCCTCCGGACCTCGGCGTTGGCGATGGCGCTGATGAAGGGCACGACCCTGCCACAGTGCAGGAAGAGCCGCACCAGCGGGACGGCCGCCTCCTGCTTTTCCCTGCACACCTCACCCAGTATGTGCGCCGCCGATGCGGACACCGGCTGTGGGAAGGAGAGACACATGGGACCCCAGTGCGAGCCCCCAGCCCTGGGGCTGCTCGGCGGGCTGGGGTCTGGACGTGGTCTGGGGGGTGGAATCGGGCTGGGGTGGGGTCTTGAGCGGGGCTTGAAGGGGGCCGGGGGCTGGAGTTGGGGTCACTAGCAGAACCCAAAGGGGGTTGGGGGGTGGAGTCGGGGTTGGGAGGAGAGCCAGGCGTCAGCAGGTGGCCCAGGGCGCTGCGGGCACAGGTACCTCCACATCCGCAGACTTCAGCAGCAGGTCCCGTAGCGGGCAGTAGTAGTCAGAGGAGAAGACGTGGTCTTCAGTGTAGACCACGTTCAGCCGCAGGGACCCCAAGTCCCCTGGCTTCAGGCTCTTGCCGCCGTTGTCTCGGGGCTGAAGGAAGTACCTGGGCGCAGGGCGCACAGAAAGGGCAGCGTGAGGCGGCAGCACCGAGGGGCTGGTTCCCTCCAGGCCGAGCCCCCAGGGCTCTGCGCTGGCTGGTCGCCCATCATGGGTTGTGTCCGGGTCTGAGGCGGGATTCTGCAGGAACCTCTCCACTCCCTGCCCAGGGTGCATGGATCCGGGGTCTTTGTCATGGGGGACCCCCCCCGCAGGTTCCGTGTGTCAGGGGCTCAGCACCAGCGGGGCGGTGACTGGGCGGGTGGGCCCGCAGACACCGGAGCACGTGGTCACTTTCTCGGTGTTTTCTGACTGGACACTGCCCGCAGGCCTTCCGCAGTGTGGCCGTGCAGGACCACGGTCTGCTCCGAGCCTACAGGCCAGGCAGTCTGACAGGGGCCGCGGGGAGCTCGTGTCTGGCCGAGGCACCTCGCTGGGGGCCCACTGGGCTGTCATGCGAGTGTCCCCTCCTGGTTACAGGACTGGTGCTGTTTAGCTCATCAGTGCTCCCACCAGCAACCAGAAGCCCACGGGGGGCTGTGCCGGTGCTGTCCTCACAGAATTAGACACGAATTCCAGTTTCCGGGTGATAGTAAACCGCCATGAGGCACAACACACACATCGCCCCCACAGTGCGTCTGCGGACATGCAGGGCTCTGGTATGTGGCATATGGCCATTTGTGACACCCGTGTCTCCCTCTTGTGTGTCTATTACAGGAGGGTGTCTGTGGCTTCACAATGACGACATTCACTGTGATAGAAAGTGATTTATGAAATGATCATGAAATAAAACAAAGGCACATTCCTTATGCCGAGTACACAGCAGCCCAGAGGACACAAGAGAGGAAGACACGGCCTTCTGGGACCCACGAGTGAGGCGGGAGGCCGAGCCGAGGGAGACGAGGGAGACAGCAGCATCTCGTTCCCCCCTCAGCAGGCGACGCCCGGGGGGACGGGCTACGGGGCTGCCTGGTGCAACACGGCTCTCCAGGTCCAGGCCCTGAGCCACCAGCGGCACCGTGCGCTTCCGTGCACTTCCGTGCGCTTGCTCTCACCTCAGCAGAGCTAGTTGGGAGCAGGTACAAAGGCAGGGGAGGCGGCTACGAGGAAGCCCACCGCGCACCAGCGCTGTCTCATTCTGGCTGCTCACCACAGCCGTGCCCGCCCTTCCCTCCACCCACCAGGAGGCGGTGGGGCCAGGCTCGCGGCACCTTACCAGGCTTCGTACGAGCTGGACTGTCGCAGCACATTCAGTGGAACTCTTAGTTCTCCCAGAAACTCATCTCCAAACTTCAAGTTGCTGGCGTTCCAGAGGTCAACTCTGAAAAACAGCCAACGGTGCGCAGGTCGCCATCAGGGACGGCCTCGGGGAGGTGGGCTGGCCACCGTGGGCCTCATCTTCCCCAGCGGGGTCTGGGCCAGCCAGGCTTTTCTTTTTCTTCTTTAAATATATTTTAGTATGGATCATTGACTTTAAATATTTTTAAGGGTTTTTTTAATGTTTATTTCTTTTTAAGAGAGAGAGAGACATAGAGCAGGAGTGGGGGAGGGGCTGAGAGAGAGAGGGAGACACAGAATCTGAAGCAGGGTCCAGGCTCTGAACACAGAGCCTGATGCGGGGCTCAAACTCACAAACCATGAGATCATGACCTGAGCCAAAGTCAGACGCTTAACCAACTGAGCCACCCAGGCGCCCCTCTTTTCTTCTTTTTAATAAGAGAAGTATTAAAAAATATTTTTGGTTTGTCTGTTTACAATACAATAGCTGGGACTTCACTCTCAATTTTAAATCTGAGTCTTGTATAAACACCTCTTTCTCTGAACAAGAAAGGGGACCCGAGTCTGAGGGCAGCTGGGGCACGGCCTCTGACCTCCAAGGGGACTTGCAGACATGCAACTGGGGGTGCTTGGAAATGGAAGACTTAACCTAAGTCCGCACTCAAGCCAAGACCTGTGTGTGGAGGCTGGCCTCCCTCAGGACTCGAAGCCACAGGAGGAAGGAAGAAAGAGCCTGGGGGTCCCACAAGACAGGGAGGGAAGGGCTTCCGTCCACGCTCTGCACCTGACGGCCAGCCCCCACCCGCCCAAGCCGCCATCCCCATGGCCTGGTTATTGCTCAGCGGCTGAACAGTCACTGCAGATTTCGGGGGAGGGGACGCCAGGGTCCCCCCCAGTTGAACGTCTGCGGTATTCCCAGTCAAGTCTCATGGAGGCCCTGACCTACAGAAAGGCAGGTTTTAAATCACGTCAGATCCGAAGAATTCCTTTAGGGCCTGTCTTGTGAACAGGTCAGACCTAAATGTGGAAGACGGGAAAAGACACCCAGCTGGCGGCCTCACAGGCTCCAGGACAGATGCCATAGGGCGGCTGGGCCTCCAATGGGCACGAGGCCCCGGAGTGGCCCCTGGAAGGGGCCTGGGGGACCTCCACAGTGTGCTCTCCTACAGCCTGTGCACACCAAGGGCTTGACCCCGGGCACCCCCAAAGCAACAGGACCACGTGTGAGGCTGGGCGAGGCCAGTAGGTGTGTGAAGCCTCACGCACACTGAGCAGCAAAGCGCCTCTGACCTCACCTCTGAAAAGATACTGCAACGTGAACTCCCAAACCACGTTTGTTCCTTGGGTTAAGTAAATGTCCTCTCAGCCACCACCCGGACAGCTGGGAAGTTTACAGCTCTGACTTCAAACTCAACTCCCAACGTCCTAGTATTAAAATTATCAGAAAACTGAGAATTCCTCTCTCTCCTTTCCCTTATTTTTAGAAACAAAACAGAAAACAAACAGGAGAGGTGAATTCAGACTGCAACCGCCAAGCGGGATCCTCAAAGCCCCAATTCTCGCTCACCGGATTTCAAGTTTGTCCACGTCTTCCTCCTCAAAGTCAAAGTGGGACTTCCGGCTGTAGCTGCAGGGTCTGGTCACCTGGAGGGGCAGACGGGAGGGAGCATGCGTGTGCCGCACCACTGCCCACAGAGCACCCCCACATGCTGGCCACCCCAGGCCCAGGGAAGAGGCTGTGGCACCCCTCCAGAGCCGAGGTGGGGTCCCAGCCTGCAGGCATGCCCTGGGCCCCGCCTCCGGGGGGCTGGGGGTGGGGGCGGGGCTGTGCCAGGTGCTTCACACACTCTGCCTGGTTGCCCTCCCCACAGCCCTTACGCCCCTGGCCCGTCTCCCTCCTCAGCCCCAAAGCTCCGGATGCCTCCCTTCAGGCTCTGCCTCCTGATCTCCTTCCTCCCCAGCCTTCCTCCCCAACCTTCCCACGTCAGGGCCTCCACCCTTCCGGCATGCTGGCAGCCCGTGCTCCTGCCCGCCAAGCAGGGCTCCCATCCAGCCAGGGCCTGCCCTGACCTCAGCCTCATCCACCTTCAGCCGAGCCTTCTGAAGCCCCCCGGAGCCCCCACTGATTCCCCTCACCCAGCACACAGGGAGTCTTTCTAACCCTGCACTCCCTGCCTGGCTCACCACTGGACCTCTTCCTCACTCAGGTCCATACTGGGAAGCCCGAAGGGGACTCTGAAACTCCACCTCTTCCAGGAAGCCCCCTAGAGCCTCGACTGCCTGATGCAGTTCACAGTGCTGATAAGGTCTATCGTTTGCCGTCTGGCTTCCAGTGTGCTGGGCACGGGGGTCCTGCATGGGATCTAACATATGTACTGAGTGAATCAATGTGGCTTTACTGGAATTTTAAATAGTTTCAATAAAATATTTGAGGGTTTTTACATAAGTCTAGCCGCTATCCTGGGAGAAGATGGTCTGGAGGCCACTTCCTGTTGAAACTCCTGGAGGAGGCTGCCTGCCAGCCCAGAGCCCCCACTGGACTCCCGCTCGCTCTGCTGGGGGCTCAGCCTCAGGCGAGGCAGAACGTCGGGGCTGTTTGCAAGCTGCAGCAGACCGCATGCACAGAGAGCCCAGCCGCAGGATCCAGCTGCTGTGCAGGCTCTGGCCCTTCAAGTCTATAAAGTCCAGACAGAAGCTTGTTCCAAGGTCCTGTGGTCTGAGGCCGTGGGAGAGGCAGGCCCACCCTGGGCTCACCTGTACTTGGGGCTTATTGAAGTCATCTAGTGGATTGAGACCCACATTACTGAGTGAAATAAGAGCATATGCAACAGGAAACAGCCCACAGCAGCGGACGTGGGTCTCGGCGCTGTAGCGACAAGCCTATGGCTTTACTGTGTGTTTTACTGCAAACAAGTTAGGAAAGTGCTGATCTAAGCTATTCTCGGCAGCCTAGATATTGAAGGCTGTGCTGCTTTTAACGTGTAACCTGTATTAAAAACTCTTCTTTAGTCTCTCTTCCAGATCCCCCCGTCTCTGGGGCCCTGGCATGAATACCCCTTGAAAGCAGGTTGACCACATCAGCTTCTTGCCTGATCGAGTCTCTTAAAAACCGTTTTCTTAACGCGGCTACGATAAAAGAATGTCCCTCTGGGACAGAAAATGGTGCTATGCCCTCAGCACTGACCTCACACCCCTTTACAGCTGCCCCAAGAAGCCAGGCTCTGTTTCAGAAACCTGTGGGCTTTCTGGATGCCAGTCAGAAAAGGTCCAGGTTTGGGGCACCTGGGTGGCTCAGTCGGTTAAACGTCCGGCTTCGGCTCAGGTCATGATCTCGTGGTTCGTGGGTTCAAGCCCCGCATCGGACTCTGTGCTGACAGCTACCTCAGAGCCTGGAGCCTGTTTTAGATTCTGTATCTCCCTCTCTTTCTGACCCTCCCCTGCTCACGGTGTCTCTCTCTCTCTCTCAGAAATAAAAACATTAAAAAAAAAAAAAAGAAACAAAGAAAGAAAAGGTCCAGGTTCTCTACCCATGAGCTCCTTGGTTCTAACCCATCTCTCCAACGTCATTTTCCAAAACTCCCCTTTCTTGCAGGAGCCTCACTCTACATCTCGACACGCACTTTCCTTCAGCCTCACGACACGCCTTCCCAGACTCGACTCAAGGGTCCCCACTCTGCGAAGACTGGCTCTATGTCACCAGTCATTTGCTTTCTGGTCCCCAAAAAACTGACTTAGCAGCCACTGAGCAAGTGCAAGAGTGCACTCATGCATGGTCTCTGCGTGGAAGCAAGCTCATGAAGACAGGAGGGCAGGCCTGACTCCACTTAGCACCCAGGACCTGCTGCAGAGGAAACACTCAAGAGACTTTTGCGGATGGAAAGCACCTCAGCCTCAATACGTTTTCTATGGTTCACGTTTGACTAGAGCAGGTGCGCATGCTTACTGTTGCGCCATCGTCTCCAGCCCTCACGGCCTCCGTCTCGCTCACTTCAGGGGTTCACGATTCTGAGAGGCAGCCAGGGGGATCTCTGTTCAAATATGTTTCCTCAGGGCGCCAGGGGCTCAGTCGGTTAAGTGTCCGACTTCAATTCAGGTTATGATCTCATGGTTTGTGAGTTCGAGCCCCGCGTCGGGCTCTGTGCTGACAGCTCAGAGCCTGGAGCTGCTTAGGATTCCGTTTCTCCCTCTCTCTCTGACCCTCCCCTACTCGCTCTCTGTCTGTCTCTCAAAAATAAACAAACACTAAAAAAAACAACAACAACAACAACCAAATACATTTCCTCTTGTGCTTCAAACCCCCTCACTATTTCTGGTGAACAAGCCTTCCTGCACTGCTCAGGAAAGACTGGGTGAAGCAAGCAAAAAAACTCAAACCAACCAAACAATAAAAAAACCACTAAGTCCTGATAATTTGGAAAGTATTAACTTGTCAGCATTCAACTCAAATGGAAGCAACCAGCGGCCTTTCTTCCAGGGATGAGAGGAAGTTCCTGGCACTCTGCAGCTGGGGGTGGGTGTGGGGGGCGTGCAGGGCAGTGGCTGCAGGGGCTGCGGACACTCTGCACCTGGGGGTGGGGGTGGAGGCGGGGGCGGCCGCTGCAGGGGCTGCGGAAGGTAACTCTGCTGGAGGCCCTTCAGACCTACACTCTCCCCCCAGAGTCTCGACGTGACGTTTGCGGCACTGAGTCACCAACCTCAAAATAAAACACTTCGTCGAACTGGGGATTGTTGGTCTTCTTCTTTACCTTCGTCTTCTTTGCTTCTGACCTGTGACCAGGGAGGGAGGTGAGTGATCAAAACCAGCACTGCTGGTGCCAAATCTTTCGGCCATGAGACCGAGCAAGCGAACGCACAGGTGGCTTACTGTGGTCACTGTCTTGTAAAACACAAGTGGTTTTTTTTTTTAATGTTTTTTATTTATTTCTGAGAGAGAGAGAGAGAGAGACAGTGTGAGTAGGGGAGGGTCAGAGAGAGAGACACAGAATCTGAAACAGGCTCCAGGCTCTGAGCTGTCAGCACAGAGCCCGACACGGGGCTCGAACCCACGAACCGTGAGATCATGACCTGAGCCGAAGTCGGAAGCTCAACAGACTGAGCCCCCCAGGCGCCCCTAGTAAATACAAGTGTTTGTCCCTAACCCAGGTGGCCTGCAGACAGGGACATTGCCGAGCCAAGAATGCCCGACATGAAGAACGTGAGGGCTTTCTTCACAAAGCAGTTTTAGGGCAATAGGAGAAAGGAAAGTAAGCGAGATCGATACATCCCGCCTCGCGGCCCACCCTGCACTTTCCTGAACACGGAGTCCTCAGCATCGCGGCGCCTGAGTACGGCTCGCCTGCGAGGCCCGGGGCGGGTGCGGGGCGCGGAACTTGCCTGCAGGGTCCTTCCAGGGCCACGGTGGCATAGGGGTCACACTGCCCATTCACGATGGGAAGGCCTTGGCACTCGAAGATGCTGCAGAGAGAATGGGGGTGTCAGGGCGGGAGGTGGGGGGCCTGCAGGCAGTTTCTCAGGGTTGCCCTGAGGTCCGAGAGGGCAGCGGCCTCAGCAGCCCAGGGCCGAGAGTCCTGAGTTCTGGGTGGTGGTCCCCGACTGCCCAGGAGCTCCCGTCAGATGAGCACTAGTAAGTGCACCAATTAGCAGCTGGGAACCATCTGGGGGCAGGGGACAGTGTCTGCCACATTCAGGACGCCCTCCTGGTGACTTGCGTGCGTGAGGCCTTGCAGGGCTTCCTGTGACTCATGAATCCACCTGCCCAACACCCTGACACAGTGGACGCTACTGCACGTCCAGGTTGTAGGTGGGGGCTTGCGGGTCCTGCCCAGGCACGACCTCCGTGCCACACGTGCCTCTGGTAGCAGGGTCTCCTCATGCCTGATCCCACCTGCAGACTGATTCAGGCAGTTCTTGTCTGAGGCTCTGCCTGGGGCACCAGAACCGTCCGGCCCCACCCCGGGGTCTCCGCGGAGTGCCGAGTGGGGGCAAGGAGCTCTGCCAGTGGAGAATCAATGCTTCCCAGGGCGCACGAGCCCCTTCAACCCACAGCCCCCGCGCTCTGCCCGACCCCGTGGTGCTCGCCCCGCGTATTGACACAGGCCTGTGGAGCGCCGTGGAGCCCCCTCCTCTCGGAAACACCCACAGCGGCTCAGACCCCAACTGTAGCCTCTGTCTCCTCACCCACCTCCAGGCTCCACCTGGGACGCCTCCTGCCCGTTGCCACCCACACGGCTCCAGGACAAACCCAGCCCCACTGGGACCCCCGGGTCTGCTTCCCGAAGTTGGGGTCACAGAGCCGGACTGCCAATTGCCCGCCATCCAGAAATGTTCCACCCGTTCAGCATCCAGCTCTTCAGCTGACTGTGGTGGAGGTGGGGTCCAGTCGTCAGCGTTCCCTCTGGGGACGCAGGAGTCCTGCCCCCACAGAGGAGCGTCAGTTTGGGTACACAGGTGCAAATTCATTTCCCTGCGACGTCTCTGGGCTCTAGAGTCTCCTTGCCCCTGGGAAGCCAGAACCCAGAAAGACTGCTCTGCGGGGACTCAGAGGCAGGGCTGTGAAAGGGGGCGGAGCAGCGTCTCGAGCAGCGCCAGCAGAGCCAAGCGCCAGTGCACACGTGTCTTCTGGCACACGTGGCACGTTGCCCACATGCACTACATTCTAAAGGAAGGGGGTCCAGCGTCCACAGAAATGTCCACGACCAATCGCCTCCGATGCACAACACGTGTCCGCTCGGCCCGGCGGAGACCTCAGCGGCCTTGTGGCCTCCCGGATCACACATGACGACTACCGGACGCACTGCACAACCCTGCCCAGAGCCCTGCCTCCGTGCCGACGGGCCGGCTCACGCCCGCCCGGCTCTGCAGTGCAGTGATGTACCGACGCCCTCACATGCCGACACGCCTCTGCAGCTAGAACGTAGGCCCCGGGAGGCCGAGAACAGCCCTCAGCTGGCAGCAGGGGTCATGAAGTATTTTTCAATGAATGATAAAAAGGTATATTAATCTTTGTTGGGGATGAAAAAGCAGCACGATAGGTCCCCGAGTCCAAGCCTGAGACCATACACAAGGAGAGGCCCGGTGTGAGGTGGGGACCGGCAGGTACCTCGTCCACAGACAACAGGAACATGAGACGGTGGGTCACCGAACCACCTGGGCCTCAGCCAGGCGTCCAGGACAGTAGACTTGGGCATGCGAGTGAACAGGACAAAAAAGAGGGGCTACAATCAGGAAGAGCCACGTGTGGAAGGAACAGGGAGGTTTCTGTGAGCACGCCCAGAAGGTCCTCCATGCACGACGGCACGAAGGCTTGGCTCGGACGGCAGCACCCAGGCAGGTGGGTGGGAAAGCCTGCAGCTCACATCCACTACCAGCTGGACAGGACACGGCTGCCTCCAGCCTCCAGCCTCCTGGGCTCTCCCGGGCACGTGCGGGGAAGGGATGCCCTCAGGAAGGAACTGCAAGTGCTCACAGGGCAACCTGCGGTTTGGGAGGGAAGACGGCCTCACCTTGCTCTTCAGGCTGGTGGGGAGGGTGCTCCTAGCGGAGAAGGTGCACCTGTGGGGGGGTGCTCCCAGCGGGGAGGGTGCTCCCAGTGGGGAGGGTGCTCCTGGGGGGAAGGTGCACCTGTGGGGAGGGTGCTCCCAGCAGCAGAGAGAGACAAGCTGGAAGTAGGGAGAGGGAAGGCCTGGAGAGAGAACTCAACCCGGCCAGAACACCCCCAGGCAGGCACCCCTGAAAGACCACCTAGGCCAGGTGAGAGGTGAAAGGAGCCAGGGGAGGACCTGAAAGTGCAGGTTCTGCAGCCTCTGGCTGGGTGGGCTGCCGGCCCCAGCAGGCGCTGCCAGGTGGTGTGCGGGTGGAGGCCCCCAAGAGATGTGACCTTATTTGGAAAAAGGTCTTTGCAGATGTAATCACGCTAAGGATCTTGAGATGATGAGATTTAAACCCAATTACTAGGGTCCCTACAGGAGGGAGCCTTCACAGACACAGTGGAGAGGGTCACGTGAAGGGGGAGGAGAATGGGAAGGGACTGCCTGCTGCCCCGGAAGCTGGGGGTGGGGGAGGGACTGTCCCCTGGAGTGTCCAGATCTGGCTTCCAGAATTGGGATAGAATAACGTTCTGTGGAGTTAAGCCACTTAAGATTGTGGTGTTTGGCCTCAGCAGACCTAGGAAAGTAACACCCCTGCAGTAAAGCAGTGACGTGTGTCAGGGAGGCTGAGAACACGTCGCCATCACGTTCTAGAGAGGAAAGTGGGGATAAGTTACGGTGGCTGTGCTGCCCGGCAGGAGGTGGGCCTGATTCTCAGGCGAGGAGAGAAGCGTATTGGAATGATTTTGCTTCTGACAACAGACTTCTCTTCAACGGCCCGTCTTCCCAGCTCTTAATTTCTCCCGAGCCCATAACACACTGTGAGGTTGGCCCAAGCCCTTGCCAACTGTTGAGATGCCAGGGTGTGAGGGGAGGACCCACACAAATAACTGTGTGTGCTCCTGGACAAATGCCGGCAGAGACGCTATTATTCCAATTTTGTACAGGAAGTGACCCGCAGAGAAAGTCAGAGCTTGCAGGGTGTCACATGGCTGGGGAAGATTTCGCTGGCTGTGGATGCCAGGGTTTGGGGTCCTGAGCCTTTTGCACCTGATCAAAGGTCGAGTGTCCACTGTCTCCTGTTCCATCCCAAATCAGGCCTATTTGTGGCAAGTCCCAGGTGCACAAGAGACTTAGCTCTCAGGAAGAAAGTGATCGAATACAAGATGGCTGCAATATTAGAGGAGACGTTGTGGCCATAACACCCACATTAAAAAAGACAGAAAGATCACAAATCCATCACCCTCACTTCTACCCTAAGAAACCAGAACAAGAAAAGCAAAAAACCCACACAGGCAGAAAGAAGGAAATAATCAAGACCATAGCAGAGATAATGAATTAGAAAAATCAGTAAAACCAAAAGTGAGGCGTTTGTAAAGATCCACAAACTTGACAGGTCTTTAGCTAGGCTGACCGAGAAAAAGAGAAGGTTCTCGTATTTCTAAAATTAGTAATGAAAGAGGGGGGACGTTTCTAAATGACCTTAGAGAAAAAAAACCATTCTTTAAAAAACATTTCAAAGGAGCTAACCAACTGGAAAGACAGTGTTCCAGGGGCTGGAAGGGTTAGAATTGCTAATTCCGCAAAATGATCTACAGATTCAATACAATCACCATCAAAACATCAGCTGCTATTTTTGTGGAAATTAACACGGTGATCCTAAAATTCACATGGAAATGAAAAGCTCTCAGGATGGCCAGTCACCAAAGAAAAAGGACCAGGACGGAAGACTTCCGCTTCCTGATTTCAAAACTTACTACAAATTGAAAGTTGCCAAGACTGTGGCGCCAGCACAGGGCAGGCATGGAGGTCAATGGAATAGCGCAGTTGACTAGTAAGTCCAGCGATTTTCAACAAAAATGCCAAGATAATTCACAGGGAAAGAATGGACTTTTCACCAAATGGTGCCAAGACAACTGGGTGTTCAAAAGCAAAGGGATCAGTGCTGGCACCTAACACCACGTGTAACAATTAATTCCAAACACAGTGAGGGCCTGAAGGTGAGGGCCGAAACCATAGGGACGTTAGACTGGATTAGGAAATGATTTCTTAGATACCGACCTAAAACACAGGAAACAACTGATAAATTAGAGTGCATCAAGATTTAAAAGTCTTGTATTACAAAGAACATTACCAAGAATGTGAAGGCAAAGAGCAGAATGACAAAAAAAATGTTTTCAAATTATATATTTGACAAGGACCTAGTGTCCAGAATATATGAAAAATTCTTACATCTTCACAATAAAATACTAATAACCCAATGAAAACATCAGTAAAGGACTTGCATAGACATTTCTTCAGAGAAGAAAGAGAGCTGGCCAACAAGGACGAAGAAGGACAGTCCGTGTCATTTAGGGAACTGTGAGTCAATGCCACGTCGTGCCCACCAGGAGCCCGCAAAGCCAGACACGGAGAATCACGCAGGTCGGCAAGCGTTGGGGGGACTGGAGCCGTCACACACAGCTGGCCGTGTAAACGGGGCGGCCACTGTGACAAACAGCCGGGCATTTCCTGAAAGAGTTACACAGAATTAAGGTACAATGCACTGAGTCAACCCCTATGTTACGTACCCAAGATTAGCGAGAACAAGTCTGCACATACACTTGTACAAGAATGTTCCCAGCAGTATTCACAATCGCCTAAAAGTAGGAACAATCCAAATGTCTATGATGGATGATGGGTAAGAAAATGCAGTGAAGCCACACAGTGGACATTATTCAGCCCTGTCATCGAAGCCCCGACGCCTGCGACTGCGTGCGTGAGCCTTGACGACATCACGTTCAGTGGGAGAGGACAGTCCCAGAGAACCACACGTTATGTGATTCAGTTTATGTGAGGCGTCCAGAACAGGTAGGTCCACAGGCAGGAGACAGGCCAGTGGCTGCCAGGGGCTGAAGTGTATGGGATACAACCGCTCCTGGGGACAGGATTTCTTTCTTGGGGTGACGGAATGTTCTGGAACTAGACAGTGGTTAGTGGTAATAGTGCACAACCTTGTGAATCTACCAACAGTGTGCACTTTACAATGCTGAATCATATGGTATGTAAACTATATTTCTTTAGTGAAAGAAAAATCTACAGGGCGAGGCAAAGAGAATAAAGAAAAGCTAATGGTCCCTCAGACACTTCTGACTCACTTGATTGGAGGATATGAGCCCCTATGGACTCTGTGACACCCCTACACTCTTTCTCTCTCACTGCACCTCTACGGGGGACCCTTCTGCCATCGAACTCTGAACACAGCGTACTAGTGTGTGACAGTATGTGCCGATGGGTGTGCTACTTTGTGTATATATGCATAGTGTGTGTTTATACCAGTGTGTAGACTAGCGTGTGTGCTCGTGTGTACCAGCAGGTGTACCAGTGTATGTGCTACTGTGTGCTGATGAGTGTGCTAGTGTGTACCAGTATGTAAACTAGCGTGTGTACTGGTGTATACTAGTGTGTGCTCGTGTGTACTAGAAGGTATACTAACGTGCTAGTGTGCACGAATGAGTGTGCCAGCATGTAAACTAACATGTGTACTAGTGTGTATGATTGTGCTGAGTGTGCTAGCATGAACCAGTGTAAACTAATGTGTGCACTGGTGTAAACTAGCGCGTGTACTAGTGCATACTAGTGTGTGCTCGTGTGTACCAGTGACGTTAGTGTGTGCTAGTATGAGAAGTAGTCTGTGCTGGTGTGTACTAGCATGTGTAGTAGATGTGCTAGTTCATTAGTGTATGTAAAGTATACACTAGTATGTACATCAGTGTATACTCATGTGTGCTAGCATGTGTACTAGCAGGTACTAGTGTGCATACTATTGTGGACTAGGAAGAAGCAGGTAGGATTCCACCACGAAGACAGAGGAAGCAGGCTAACCCTGGCACTCAGACTAAGGAGGCTTCCAGAAGGCGGTGTCTGGGGAGCCCCCAGGGTTGGCAGGAACTCTGGGGGTGGGCAGGACGGGGGGGGGGCGGCAGAGTGGGGAGTGGGATGCAGTACTCAGTCTCCTGCTCTGGGCACCACACCTGTCATCTGATCGAGACCTTCCCCCCCGACCACAGGGCAGGACCACGGCTCTTCCCCCGGCCCCTGGACGGGACTGTGCTCCCCCCTCCCCAGACGAACAGCTCACATCCGCCCCCCTCACCCGGACGTGCGGCTGGACAGGGCGCCTGTCAGGGCAGGGACCCTGGCCCACATCTCTTGTGTTCACCCTCCTGACTCCGTGCTCTGCCCCCCAACCCCTAAAGCACACCTCATATTCTATGCAGGGCTCTTCTTAAACAGCCTTAAGTTGTTGTGGAACATGGTTAGATAAGCCCTACAAATAAGCAAGAAAACAGGCCACTTCCACTGCTACAGGGTCTGAGAGCACAGCAACTGTTTCGAGAACAGGAGCACAGAAGGGCCTGAACACATTCCCACACATGGGCTCCCTGCAGCCAGAAGCGACCAGAGGCCGTCTGCAGCCATCCGACGGCGGACTCCAGCAGTGCTGTGGGCAGCAGGCCGGGGCCCTCCGGGGCGGCAGACAATGGGGACCCTCCTCGGCCCCCCCACCCCGGGCCTTGTGCCAGGACACAGGGAGCGCAACCCTAAAGTGGAACTTGGAATCTCAGCCCAAGAACAAGGCATCGCTCAATCTCCGAAGCCCTTCTCTCCAGAGACAGTTAAGAGATGAATTCAGGAAACAGTCTTCTCCGAGGATGAAGCAAGCTGTAGCCTCTGGTCCCCTCCCGGTTTCTGCGCACCTTCACTTCCTCTTCCGGGACTTCCTCTTCCGAGACTGCCTCCCAACCGCCCTTCACTCAGTAATGACACAGGCTCCAAACACACCGGCCAGACCATTGGCCAGAACGCACCTCTGGCACCCGCCCAAGGGATCCCTAACTACTGCAGGGGTCGTCAGTAAAGAAAACCGTGGGGCCCACGGAGCAGGCAGCGAGAGAACGGGGTCTCGGCCGGGGTGTGTGTACCCTGAGGTCTCGCTGGGGTCAGAGGGCAAGGACCCTGCACACATTGCAAGCTTGTGCATGTGTCTGGGTATCTTCTAAGAGTCCTCGGCCTCCTCCTCTATGGGATCCATGACCCTAAAAGTCAAGGGCCTCACCCGTTTAGACACGTGCACAGACATCCACACTCGCCTAGCCTTATGGGGTAGACGGAGCCCTGGATTCGTCTGGTTCAGGCCCCAGCTCTGCCAACCAGCCTCAGACACACCTCTACACAGTCCTCACCTGTATGGCCCCGGGTGAGATGGCACCCACTTTGCCTAAGTGTCACCCTGCGTAAGCATGGCTGTTTGCAAAAGCCAAATTCACCACCTCTAGGATGGGCATTTGCTTTATTTGAGGACATTAAGAAGAATGTGCCAGAACCCCTAACAAAAATGTCATGGTGGGGAATGACCGAACTCTAGGAATTCGTATTCGTTTGAAAAACAAGCACCCGTCGCACTCCCTGGGGTCAGTTTCTACTTCACGAAGACCAGCCGTCCATGTCTTACCGCGTGGCCAGCTTGTGGCAGACGGCGCCTGTGTCGGTGATGACTTCACTCAGCCTCAGCTCCAGGTGGACCTTGCCCTGAAAGGCATAAGGACAGAGGGTCACGAGGGGCTGGCCACGTGCAGGGGAGGGGTCCCCAGTCTCTGCTCACAAACGTGAAGCTGTGTCTCACCCCACACAGCACCCATGGCACTCTCCCCGCCCCACTCTGACCCCAGGGCTCCAGATGGGGCACAGCTCCCCCCGAGTGAAAGGGTCCAGCCCAACAGGCATGTAGCACTCCCAACTTCAAGGACAGCAGATCGCTGTTTCAGAAGAAAGAAGTCGAAAAGCACAAGAAACAGGTCCTGAAGAAAGCAGCCTTCCAAACATGTTTGCTGCTTGCTTTTGGCTGCAACCCTTCATACAACAGGTGCCTGCGTCAGACACTTGAGCCTGGGTGCAGGTATGCACGACTGCCCCGTCACCTCAGTGCTTGTGTGTGTGTGTGTGTGTGTGTGTGTGTGTGTGTGTGTGTGTGTGAGATGCCTGGACACCAGGCCGGGGAATCTCAGTCCTACGCCCCAGGCGGGTCATTAATGCCCACAGATGCTTCTGAAAGACAGGGAGCAGAGGCGGCTGGAATTCCGAGAGCAAGACCAGTGCTGTTTCTGCCTGTGTCTATGTCTCTGCAAAGGTCAGACCAGACGGAGGACCCAACGAGGTTACCCTCAGGGGTCAGGGGTCAGGAGGGGGAAGGGGGGGCTGCGAAGAAAAGAGGAGCCTGCTCCTAAGAAACATCCAACAGGAGCAGTGGTGGCACACTGACATATTTCTAGGAGTACATACAGGTTAAAATTAACACTCTTTTTAATTAGAAAAGGAGCCTCAGGGGGATAATCTCCAAGGTCCTTTCTGCCTAAAACTAGACTCTGCAGCCTGGAGAGGGCCCTCTGAAGGCTGCCTTGTTCTAGAAGAATCCAGGGCCCCAGACTGACAGATGGACGGATGGATGGATGGACAGACGGATGGATGGATGGACGGACGGATGGACGGATGGACAGACGGATGGATGGATGGACGGACGGATGGATGGATGAATGGACTGGAAGGATGGACGGATGGACGGATGGACGGATGGACGGATGGATGGATGGATGGATGGATGGACAGACGAATGGACAGATGAATGGACTGGAAGGATGGACGGACAGACGGATGGATGGATAGATGAATGGATGGATGGACTGGAAGGATGGATGGATGGACAGACGGACGGACAGACGGATGGATGGATGGATGGACAGATGGATGGACTGACAGACAGATGGATGGACAGATGGACTGGACGGAAGTGTAGGCAGCACTGCTCAGCAGTTCCCCTCAGTGGCCTCCTGAGTTTTCCTGCAGCTTTGGAGATGCCCGCACAGGGCCCTGCTTGCCGAGCAGCATGGAGGCCAGCCTCCTGGGTCCTCTGGCTCGCCCACAACACTGACACGGGAGACCTGATGTGCCCCTGATGTGCCCCAGGAGCTGCCCTTTCTGGCCCTTCCCTCACCTGCAGGACAAATGGTCTCAGACAAATGCTAAGGAAGGGAGCAATAAATCCTGGATGACAGGATGAGACCAGCCTCACACCTGTGTGACCCTGGGCAACATCCAGTGCCCATGACACTGACCCAGTTTCTGCAGAGGCTTGAGTGCTTCCTGCCACACGCGGAACTACAGGAACACCTCCTGAGCAATGTGCTTCCCAGAGCAGCCAGCTTCCCACAGAGCCCTTCCCACAGAGCCCTGGGAGCTTCTGCCCGAAACAGCCCCACACGGGACAGGTGTGCAGACAGCAGGCTCCATGATGCACATCACCCCCCTCGGCTGACCTAGCCCATCCACCCACCCAGCCAGGAGGGGGCCTCAGTGTCACCCGGCTCTGCAGAGGTGGCAACCACACACCCACGCTGCCAGCAGGGACCCTGGAGAGCTGGCGTCCTCCCTTCCACAGAGCCAGGCCAGGCGCAAGGCTTCCCTGATGGTCCCCTGAGGCAGGCACTGCCATCCTTCTGCTGCAGTGGGAATGCCACGGCTCACGGCATTCGACAGCCTGCCCTCCAAACCCAAATGCACCGTGAAAGCTCCATCTGAAGGAGCAGAGAGAGGACCTGTCACCGAACAGGCTGCTCTCAAGTTCATGTTCCTCACCTGCATTCTCACACGCACCGGGGCCAACTCTTCCATGGCTTAACCTTAACACTGGCAACGGCCGTTCAGAGGGACAAGTCTCTACGTTACTTCTGATGGGGTCTGAGCAGTGAGGGAATGTGTCTGTGCTGAGATGACCCCCCCGCCACTGAGGACCCACAGTCCCGTTCCGTTTGTCCCAGAAGAGGATGCGCACATCTGCACAGCAGACCCCGCAGCTCAGGGAGCTTCCTCTCCAGGGGGAGCATCTCTCCAGCGAGGGGGCGGACACTGAGGGGGAGCCCCTCCCCAGCGAGGGGGCGGACACTGAGGGGGAGCCCCTCCCCAGCGAGGGGGCGGACACTGAGGGGGAGCACCTCCCCACCGAGGGGCTAGCTGTCCTCGGCCACCATATTCGGGTGACTTGGGAGAAGATGGTGCGAGGTAACACAAAACAGTACAAACACAGAGCATCACTGAAAGGACTCCTCCCCTAAAGTTAACACAATACATCTGCAGTTCAGAAGTTCACATCCGAAGCCAGACCCAGGGTTAGGGCGTGCCCCATGCCCTGTGGGTGACACACCACCGCCCTCACAAACAACCCGGCCACAAACACCTACAGGCAGGGACACAGGGGCGCCACACCCTCCACCCCTGGGGAGGCAGGAAATGTGGGTTCTCCAGCCCAGCCTCTGCACACATTTGACACTCACTAAACCACCCCACCCTCCCTCGAAGAATCTGCCCCTGGGCTTGTTTTGATCTCAACAGAGGCTCCCTCCTTAGAGGCCCAGTCACAGGCCCCACGTGCTGAGGGGAGGGGGTGGGGGGTGGGGAGGGGGTAGGAGGTGGGGACGGGGGCCTCAGGCGGCCTGAACCCAGGCTGGGGCTGGGCAGGCCTCAAACACCGCACTCAGCTACCAGCCCTGATGGCCCCCTGAGAACTCAGCCAAGGGTCCCTGCATCTGTGAGGAGAAAGAAGCCTTAGGGCAGGGCATTACAAAATGCTGACTGCATAGTTTTTTCTCATTTCTATTTAAGGTGAAGGATAGTAACAAGTTTAAAAAGCAACGGGGAGGTGAGGAACACCGCAGCCTGCCAGCCCCAGCTGCTGCCCCTAAACACCCCGTCCGGCTGCGGAGAGGACCCTTCTGCGCGGGACCCACCAGCGCGGCCCGGTATGGGCTGTAAATCACACAATGTCTGCTCTCAGAACAGTGGAACTTAAAATAGAAATCAGTATCACAAAGACAGCTTAAAAATCCCCAAATATCTGGGGCGCCCGGGTGGCGTAGTTGGTTGAGCGTCCGACTTTCGCTCGGGTCATGATCTCGCGGTTCGTGGGTTCGAGCCCCGCGTCGGGCTCTGTGCTGACTGCCAGCTCAGAGCCTGGAGCCTGTTTCAGTCTGTGACTCCCTCTCTCTCTGACCCTCCCCTGCTCACGCTGTCTCTCTCTCTCTCTCCTAGAAATAAATAAAAAAAAAAAACATTAAAAAAAAAAAAAATCCCCAAATATCTGAAGATTGAACAGCATACTTCCAAATAACAGGCCAAAGAAAAAGTCTCAAGAGAAACTGAGAGATATTTGAATTTCTTTCTTTTCATAAGCGAAAATGAAAATAAAACTTAATCACGATGTGTGGGCTACAGCGAAAGCAGTGCTTGCTAGGAAATTTATAGCAGTGACCACACATTCAAGAGGAAAGATCTAAACTCAATAATCTAAGGAAGCTAGAAAGAGAAGAGCAAATTAAATCCAAAGTGACCAGAAGAAAAGAAATAACAAAATTAAAGTAGAAATCTACAAAACTGAAAACAGAAAATCAATAGAAAAAAAAAATCAACAAAACTAAAGGCTGGGTTTTTTTGTTTGATTTGTTTTGTTTTACGATCAATAAAAGTGATTAAACCTCTACCCAGGCTAACTAAGGAAATAGAGAACACAAATTACTAATAACAGAATGAAGAAGGCGGTGTCACTGGTGATGCCATGCAGCCGATCTGTGGGATTCGGAAACGCTGGCTGGACGGCTCCACCCTTTGTCAAACCTGCGGAGCTCAGGGCCGAGAACGACCCTCTGGGAGCCGGGGATACCAAAGTCTCGATATTGTCACACTCTCGCTCATCGACTGTAGCAAACGCACCGCAGGTTACTAATGACAGAGGCCCAGCGGGGCAAGGACATGGGAGTTCCTTCTATGTTCTGGTCAATTTTCTCTGAACATAAAACTGCTTGAAAAATAAAGTTTACTACCTAAGAAAGAAAAAACACCAGTGGTTCCCATACATTTTTCTCAGGAAAGCATCAGACCCCTGGCCTGCAGAGGGCCCCGAGTACCGGCCGTGATTGCAGTGGCAGACGGCACCCCCCTGGTCCAGCCCTGGTCTGCGCGCCTGAGGCCAGGGCCGGGGTCGGCACACAGGGCCCCTGGCCACCAAGCACATGGGCCCTCCGATGTTGGTGGTGCCAAGAGTGGGCGAGACTCCCGGGAACACAGAAGCCACGGACAAGCCGGAGCCCTGTCCTCCTTCGATTCCCCAAACCCACAGAGCTGGGTCGTCACGTGCGGGCAGCTGCTGACTGTCGGCAAGTCGTTCAAGCAGCATTGTCTGACACAGAGGACGAACGAATTCCTGGGGTTTCCACCCACACTAAAGGTGCCGGAAGATGGCCAGGGTTTGCTGTCAGAGTTTTCTGGACGTGCACTATAACGGCAAGTCTGCTGAGACCACAGAGCACATGGAGAGCTCAGTGGCAGCCGGGCGTCCGCAGAGGAGCTGGGGAAGGACCCCCGGGCCCGCTCAGGTGACAGGGGGCCCCGACTCCCTCCCTGCAACGCCGAGAAGGCCCATCCCTGCCGACCGTGCTGTTCTGACACCATCGCCCAGGGTCGGGGAAGAACATAGCAACTAATTCTTTAATAAAGTGATTTCCAGAGACTTCAGCAAACATCAATTCCAGAAGGAATCAGGAAATTTTTGATTGCCTTTCTCCTATTACTCTGATTCCTTGATTGCTCGTTGGCCTGTTTTCTGGCACTTTGTTTCTGACATATCCCTTTACCTATGAACTGCAGAACAGATGGATTCAAGAACCCATATGCCATCCTCCGCCCTTCTAAAAATCGTAAATGTGACATTTCAGGATGAAACAGCTGTAGGCAAAAGATGGTAACACACTTTTACAGGCCAGTTTGAATGTAGGGACCAGGGCTCCCTCTGCAGTGTGGCCGCTTCCGGGACAGGCAGGCTGAGAACAGAGCGCCTCAGCACAGGGCCTGCACCTCAGCAGGCCCTCAGGACACACGGGCCTCCCTCCGCCATACACATTTGCTGCCCGCGATGCAGATTCCCAGGTACTGGCCCCGCTGGAGGCACGTTCCGTCTTAGGTGCTAAGGGTCTGCTCTGAGGACAAGGACCTTATCCACAGGCGCACGAACGGTATCAGCTGTGGAACAGCCCAGGTGCTTCACACAGTGTACAACCAACATGCACACCGGGTTCGGGTTCACGAGGGTGGTGGTGACCAAGAGGTTCTGGGTTATTGGTTACACACACCTACACACGATACAATGCATAGGACACACATGGGATATGCACTTGCACACACACATGCACATACTGTACGTGTGCAGGCAAGTGACACTGGTGAGATCTGACTGAGGTGTGTGGCGCGCAGCAGGTCAATGTCCGGGCCGTGGCCAGTCGCGCAGGATGTGCCCGGAGGAAAACAGCATGAAGGAGCCCGGGACGCTCTGCATTCGCTCTTGCCCGGAAGTACAAACAGGAGAGCACAGTTTGCTAATCATTATTCCCTGTGTACTGTTTTCTAGGACTTTCTATGAACCTGTAACCATTTCAAAATTAAAATTTAAGTTTAAAAACAAGGTGAGAAAAAAAGAAAAGCTACACTTGACAATGAAATCAGACTTAAACCAGGGGTGGCCCAGTGTGGAGTATGCGGTGAAGACACATCTGCTGGCCGGCTGCTGGTGGGAGAGGTCCCGTGGCCGCCACAGCCTGTTCTATTGCCGAGCAAAAGTCACTGGGAAACTGCCAAATCCAGAGGCAGGAATGGCACGTGGCCCCTGCCACTTTCCTTCTGCAGATGGGTTTCCCAGCGGCCCGAGCAGGAGCCATTGGCCATGTGTTCCTGGTGTTAATTAGCTCGTTGTCACTGCTACAGCTGCTTGTGGAATCCGGGAGCACACAGGGATCCCGCAGTAGCTGCCGTGTCGGCCGATTCCCGCAGCACATGTGGGCCCCTTGGCCAGAATTCAGTGTAAGCCACAGAGACCACATCTCTCTTGGACTCGGCTCCTCAGTCCTCCCCTCCCCCAGCCTCTTACTCCAAGTCTGTGGCTTGATCACAGGGGCCGCCAGGGGCCTGTGCGCCCCACAGCTACGGCAGCCGGAACTCTGGGCACTCTGTCTTCGTCCTCAGACCCCGACCATGGCCGAGACTCTACAAAGAAGCAAGCCAAGGCCCCCACGTACTGGGCCAGGCGCCGGGGGTGGGGTGTGCCGGGAGGGCGGGTGGGGGGTCCTCAGCAGCTACTCTACTCTGGGGATCCTGTCCGAGGCACCACCCGGCTGCACATCAGGTACCAGCTGGTATTCACAGAACCCTGCTTTACAGATGAGGAAACGAGGCTTGCTGGGGACCCCCGCCGGGGTATTTCACTAGCGGATGGGGCCACTGGGCTCTGAGCCAGGCCTGCCGGGGCCAGACTTTGTGCCGGCTCCCGCACGCTGGCCGAGCCCTGGGGACTCACAGGACCGCTGACGACAGCGCTCGTGGGTCCTGGTGCCGGGGCAGTGCGCTCTCCCGCCTGGGGACTCCAGACACCGGCGAGGGCTTAGGGGCTCAGCTGGAAACCACACAAGCAAGGTCGAGGGATGGGGAGGCTGGGGGCCACCCTCCCAGCCGGTGTTGTCCCAGGGCTTGTGGGCCATGGGCAGGGCCCATCACAGGGAAGGGAGGGCTGGGAACAAGAACCCCGCAGCCCCCCTGCCGGGCAGCGCCTTCCACTGGACAGGAGGTCAGTCCCAGATGACACATGGCCCAGAAGAGCCCAGGGGACACTTCAGACAACGGGAAACTTGGTGACTGGTCACTTCTCTTCACTCCAAACCTTGCTTTGCTGCATTCGGGAGCTGGAAATGCACATGGGCCCTTCCAGCAACTGTGACCCGCAGCGCGAGGTTCTGAGTGCTGCTCCCGCCCCAGCTCTGTGTCTGCTCGCCCCTATCTTCTCTTTACCTTCAACTCTGTAATTATTGTCCTGTCCAATTTTATACTTGTAACGCTGCTGCACACGTCACAGTGCCACAATAACCACACGAATAGACACAATTAATAGGCTTCACTACAGACCAGAGGACACGCTTGCTAACCACTGTCCCCGATAAGACCCAAGTCCTGCATCTGCCTCCGCAGCACCAGCCGCATCTCCTCCCGCAGGGGCTCCACCGCTGCCTCACCTGCACTTCCGAGTCCGCATCCACGTGCTGCAGCTGGAACCACGTGTCCCTGTTGTGGTACTTGGGCAGGTCCTCCTTCTGAATGGCCACCTTCCCTACAACACAGACGCCGAGGAGAGGCAGTCACGCAAGAGAACAAGCCCCCCGAGACAGTGGGGCCCTCCCCACCGTCGCTGCCAGGCTCTCCCAGGGGTGTGGCCCGCGGCAGCTAACTGGGTACACTGATTACACCATGCTGGCTCCCTTCCAGTAGGGTCGGCACATGCGACATCTCATCTGGAAAGCCTCCATGCGACCTGGCCGGGGGCACCGCCCATTCTGCTCCTTGATGTGAGGTTGCAGGAGAAGGAAAGGCTGCCTGTCTGTCTGGTCCCGGGGAGCTCGGAAAAGGCCACTCTGAGCCGGAGGCAAGCGAGAACCAGGAGGTGCAGAAAGAGGCCCTCGCAGAGCTCCCTGAGCTGCCCCCACCTCACAGAAATGTCTGAGGAGCAAGGGCAGCCGGGGCCCCTCTCCCGGGCAGTTACGCTGAAGGCATCAGACGGGTGCCCCCACCATGGCCTGCACCAACCCCGCCCCCTCACGCCCACGTGCTGGCCTCCCCAGCCTCCCCCCCTCGGAAGCCCAAACCCGTTACTCCTGGGCTGGTTGCTTCTCTGGGCACAACCGTCCAGCCAGCTCTCCGAGCAACCCGTCCCTGAGGTGTCCCCTGCCGACACACGCCGCAGGCATCAAGAAACTCTCTTGCTAATCTCCTCTGTGAGTCCAGTGTTGTGGGAGAACCTCGGTGGGCAGAGAGAAAGGTTTCCTCCCTGACGGCTTTCAACCTGGGGCTCCAGACCCACCAACCTACCCACGGGGCACAGAGGAGCCTTTGGAAGACAGCACAGCGCCGAAAAGCCTGTCCAAGTGTCAGAGGGCTGGGGTCTGGAGACCTGAGACAGCTTCCTCCCGCGGTCGCTGCCTTCAGCCCCCGCCCCCCCCCCCGCCCCTGTCCATCCACCAGTCATCATTTCAGCATATTTGTATCACTTCATATTCCCCAAGGGAAGGTCACTGTACCTTGCACCTCCCAGCCGAAAACAGCCCTGGGAGAGACCCTGGAACCATTCCACCGGGGCCCATCGGCAAGGCCGGCCCCGCATCCTCCCCCACCAAGCGGAGGCGGCAGCAGCGCCCCTGCCCACCCGGAACCCCCACTGGCTCAGCTCCGACCTGGAAGAGCCACCTGGAGCCAGACCCTGCACGGCCACAGACCACACGACACATTAAAGCCACTGCTCACAGTTGACAGGTGGCCACGGAAGGGAGAAGACAGACAGCGAGAGAGCAGGTGCAGAGGCAGAGACACGTAGCAGCAGAGCCGCACAGAAATGTAGACAGAAGCCCAGATTACAGGCCACCTGGGATTTCCTCCAGCAGCACCAAGCTGTGGGGCAGGGTGGCTCCCTGGGGACCCCCACGCCTTCCCCCCTCAGTCCTCCCCCTCCCCAGCACCCGGCCTGGCAGGTGTCAGGCCTCTGACCACCCCCTGACACATGGCCACCAGGCAGATGGGCGAGAAAAGACTGTCCCTCCTTTGCAGACCTACGTTGTCCCCACACTGCGAGTGCGGTTTTGAGTCTCCGTGGAACAGCCACGTGAAAACAATTCTTGGAATTGAATCGAGCAAATACATTTCATTGAAAAAAGATAAACCTTCAGACTGTGATTAGCTCAACTGGATGGGAAGATTACATTTGAGGTTTGAAATTTTAAGTAACTGCAATGATTTTATGAGCTTTCGTTGGAATAGGGAAGGGCCACATATTTAATGCCTATGTGAACCCCACAGCGTACACGTCGGTACTTACACATAAGTGTACAAATGCGTCCTCTTTAAACAGATATATTAGTGTTTCTAAATGCTGTTTGGAGACCATACCTAACCTACAAACTATAATATCTACTTAAATGTGTCCCCATCAACCTGAGTGACAGCAAAAGTCCCCTAAACCACTCTGGGCCTCACTGCCTCACGCGGACAGCGGTGCTGCCTCTACACAGCGAAACCCGCACGCATTGCTTCCTCTCTGGCTGCTACACCTGTGAGGGTCTGTCCAGCAGAGGAACATGCCAGCTGGCATGACAGAGGGCAGGTGACATGAAGAACCAGGTACAGAGGTGTCAGAGGGTGCAGGGAGGTGGACCTCAGAATCTGCGGGAAGGCTAAGCTGACTTAACAAGGAACTGGCAGATGCCTCCTGAGACGAGCCAGTGGCAGAGATGCTGTTACCACCCCGGCGTCCCAGCTAGCGCGTGGAGGCGAGAAAAGGAGGCGAGGGCATGAACACTGGGGAGGGAGAAACAAGGTCTTACTCGCAGAATCTGTAGAAGCTAGTGGGCACGTGTGCTCAGCAAGAGCACAGAGCACAAGTCAGCGCACACAGTCAACGGTGTTTGTACACACAAGCAAGGGTAATAAAAACTGAAATAAAGGGGTGCCAGGTGGCTCAGTTGGCTAAGTGTCTGATTCTTGATTTCGGCTCAGGACACAATCTCAGGGCTATGAGATTGAGCCCTTCATCGGGCTCTGCACTGACAACGTGGAGCCTGCTTTAAGAGTCTCTCTCTCCCTCCCCCTCTGCCCCTCCCCTGCTCACGCGCCCATGCCCTCTCAGTCTCTCTCTCGCTCAGAAAACAAACAAACAAACAAAACCCATGAAATTAAAAACACCCAACAATACCATTCACAAAATGATGCTTTTATGGCTTGTGCCTCTGGTGTGCTACCTAGAAATCTTTATCTACTCCATCAAAAACATAAAATACATAGGGAAATATTTAAATCTATATATATATGCAAGATGCATATATTGAAAAACACATACCACAAACACTGAGGAGAGATGTTAAGGGAGGACCAAGCATGTGCCCCATTGCAGGGTCCAAACAGATGTTAAGATGTTAGTTCTTCCCCAAATTGATCTACATACCTACACAATCTCGGTCGTGTTGGAAATTGAGAAGCAGATTTAAAAATGTTGAGTGACAACTCAAAGTGCCTAGAATAGCAAAACAAGACTGGAAAAGAACAGTTGATGTGCTCACACCGCTGGCCTGAGACTGGATTTGAGGCTACAGCGGGCTCTGGTGCAGGGCCCTAGACCAGGGGGCCAGGGTAGAGGACCAGCGGCAGACCTGTGCATGTGAAGTCGGTGGTTCTCAGGGAGGCCTCGGCGTAATCCAATGGAGAAAAGAGGTCTTTCAACAAATAAGGTGCTACAATCTGACGTTTATGAGGAGAAAAATGAACTTTGTGTCATGTGTGCAATTCACCTGAAACAGATGTAAATGTGGGAGCTAAAACCATAAGCTTTTTCTTTTAAAAAAGGAGGAGGAAGTGGTGGGGGAAATCTTCATTGCCCTCGAGTAGGCAAAGATTTCTTAGATATGACATCAAAAATATAAACTATTAAAGAAAGGATTTTGACAAATTAGAAATTTGTCAACAAAATTAAAAACTTCTGGTCTTCAAGAGATCCTGGTAAGAAAATAAACAAAATGAAAGGAAATATTTGTAAAACAAATCATCCAATGAAGAACCTGTATCCAGAATACACAAAAAAAAACCTTTAAAAACTCTGTAATAAAATAACCCAGTTAAAAGGGCAAAAGATTTGAACAATTTACCAAAGAAGAGATACAGATGGTAAACATATGAAAACGTGCCTCATTCTTCATCACGAAAATGCAATAAAAACCATACTGAGACACCACACACATATCAGAATGGCAAAAATGGATTAACGATAAAAACGGCCAATTCCAAGTGCTCGGAGAGGCTGTGTGGCACCTGGGCTCTCACGCAGCTGCAGAGAATTCAAGATGGCGCGCTCACTGGGGAGCACGACGTGGCAGTCTCCACCAGAGGCAGACACACACCATGGGGAGGGGGAAACTTTTTCCTCCTACCCTTCTAGGTTCTCTAGGGCTCTGCCACAGAGGAAAGATTAACAGAGGACAACACACTGCAGTTTATTAACACATCTCTCTCAAACACACACCGGGAAACTCAGCGGTGTGCAGGAACTTGTGCTTACATAACATCCTAACCTGAAACAACAAATGTTCAAAGAAGAGACACTAAGGAAAGGTCTTTGGGGGTCAAGGGCACAGACTGCAAGAAGGGGCCAGTGGAGAGAAGGGCGTCACGTCGACCCCTCTGGTGTCCTCTTGAGGCTAACAGGGCTCTAATCTCGGTGATTAACTTCTGTACCAATTCATGCCCTACTTTTAGGGCAGGCCGGAGATCTTCTCTCGTGCCTGCTTATTCTCAACGGCCTTCAGCTCAAAGTAATCCTTATGCCAAAGTACGTGTTTGGGGATGCCAAATTCTGCCATCTTTCAATACTTAGACACTGTGGCAACCTGCCTCTTAGGTATCTTCGAAGAGGAATGAAAACATGCGTCAATATAAAGACCTGGTATAAAGACACAGTGTTGCTGGCAGCTTTATTCACAACCACTAAACTCTGGAAACAACCGACACTTGCATCCAGGGCTGAACTGGCAAACAACAGCACATCCATACAATGGGATGCTCGAGCATACTAGATAAAGGAAGCCGGACACAACGGCTCATGTACTGTGTGGATCCATTTATGTGACATTCTGGGAAAGGCAAGACTAGAAACAGATAGCACATGCACAGCTGCGCAGAGGGTGTAGGGAGGAAAGTGTGTCCCAAGGGGCCCCAGGGAAGTTCTGGGGGATGGAGACAAACCTCAGTTGCGGAGCCGTTAACACAACTGTTGACACCTGTCAGACTCCACACCTAAAGGAGGTGAATTTCACTGTATAAAAATTATATTTCAACAAAGCTGGTTATAAACAAAAGAATAAAGGTCTTGCTTTTCCATCTCCCCTTCAGTAGAGAATCTGCAGGAAGCCACTGCCAGACCCGAGCCAGAGGGACAGCTGGAGAGATGGTGGTTTGCACCAGGTCCCCCAGAGGAAGTCGGGGCTCGAGGACAGGGGTGTCCACCAGAGCCAGAGGTGGGAAAGTGGGAAAACGTCCCAGCCTCTGCCCCACCCCCAGACGTCTGCCAGCCCTGATCTAACTGGAAGCCAGATGGTTGGAGGGGGACAGCGTGGGGGCGAGGGGGGGCACCCAGGAGCAGTCTGAGGGGCACAGGGTCCACTTACTAGAATTCCACGTACCAAGCGGCATGGACTAAGGAGACAGTTTCCTGTTTTCATCACCAAAACCATCAATGCTGCTCTGAGCCTAGGTCTGCACCGCAGGACTGATGTGCGTTGGTGCAGTTTGAGCCTGAAGGGGAGCGGCCATGCTTCAGTCTGTCCAGCACCTTGCCCAGGTTAAAGGACATCCACGAAGCACTGAAAGCAGCTGCTGGACCCACATGCCAAGACCACTTACAGGTTAGCAGTGGATGAAACCCTGCTCTGTATCAGCTCCCTCTGGTGCTAACCCTTTCTGGCCTGGGAAACCTGACTGCCAACCACATGTGCGGGAGGGACCCATGATCGCATCGGGTCTGCGCTCTCCCACGAGGGTCACTTCCACTTACCCCCAAACCCACTCTCGGTGCCTCTCACCTGCAGCTGACCTTCAGCCCGTGGGGGCAGGGGGTGGACCAGGTCAGGGCACCCGGCTCCTGAAGCTTTGGGTTCAGTAATCAGCCCTCACTATTAAGCTCCAGGGTCCAGATTCCAGAGGACACCTTCACTGGGACACACATGCGGCGGCACCAGGGAGCCTGGAGGTGAGTGCAGTTTCCTCCAGGCGTGAGATGCCATCAGACCCGACATCAGAAACCCCGGGAAGCCAGTGACACTGACTGACCCCATGGCATGAATTTATATTCTCATCGTGGTGACAACATAGTCACTAGTCATAACTTTAGTCTCTCCCTGGAGACCCAAGTCGCCGCTTATTTCTACAGCTGCAAAAATGGTGGCTGGGCATCTATGTCCAACTGCCAACGTGGCAGTTTCAATGCCACCAAGACTGCTAAGCCCTGATGCTGCTGGTTATCTCCAAAAATGGCCGAAGCCTGGGGGCACCTGGGTGGCTCAGTCAGTTAAGCATCCGACTTCGGCTCAGGTCGTGATTCCATAGTTCGTGAGTTTGAGCCCCACATAAGGCTCCATGCTGCTGTGAAGCCCGCTCGGGATTATCTCCCTCTCTGTCCTTCTCCTGCTCATGCTCTTTGTCTCTCTCTCTCTCTCAAAATAAATACACAAACATTTAAAATACTTTTAATGTGCAAAAGTATATTTTATGTGTTTATATATTTTAAATATTTTTTATATTTTTTAAATTTTTTCCCCTTAGGATTACCACTCAAAAATCCCTTCCTGTATCTCCAAAGATTAATCAAATCTTCTTCATTATAGTGTGATCTGAGCCAACACGGAAACCAATACTGTCCCCCACTTGCAGGTCACCTGTCACAGCGGTGCCTCCGACCCACAGAACCACGGGGCGAAGTGTCAGCTTGCGACCAAACCACTTAGCTCCTGCACTCCTCTCCTTCCTCCCCTGAGCCCCTCCTTTTCCTCCCTGAAAAACACCTTCGTGCCCCCAGCAGGTGCCAGGCAGAGACAACCCGGGCTCTGCCCCCAGAAGCGCCAGGCCGTGGCGAGTCCAGGCCAGAGAACACCGGATGACAAGCAAAAGAACAGCTCGAGCAGGGAAAGCTGGAGGGGCAGGCAGGGGGCTCAGCTGGCCATTCCCGGGCAGGAAGCGTGAGCCAGGAGGAGGTGGGGAGACGGGCCTGCGGGGGGCGCCGGGCAGGGGCGGCCACGTGTGCCGGGCCAGGAGTTTGAGGGGAGGCCCCGGGAGAGGCACTGGGAGGGATGGGGGGGGTCAGAGTCCACATACTGGGTTGGGGGCACATGGAGGAGGGATCCCTTGATCCCTTGACAAGGCAGGGCACTCACGGCAGGCTTAAATGCCAGGCTGAGAGTCTGGGCTTCACCTGAGGGGAAAGGGAGCCTGCAGGAGCTGAGGAGCAAGGTGGGGCGGTTAGATCCGGAACCTGACCTGTCTCTATCCCCCGCCGTCCACAAGGTCTTAGCAAGCCCAGAATTCAGTGAGGTCTCAACACAGCAACTGCACACGGGGAGTCCTAATAAAGCTTCGGTGCAGCTTCACTATCTGCAGCTAAGCCGCCCCAGCCTGCACCTGCACAGAGGCTCCTTGCCGCCCCTCCTGGCCTCCCGTAAGCCCCCGGGTCTCCAAAAGTTAGACTTCATCTCACTTAGGAAGACCAAGGAGAGGCGTGGTGACGGCTGCCGGGAGGGGACCCAGGTAGGAAATGAACCTCACACGGGGACTAAAGTCAGAGCTCACATGTGGTTCAAGATCCTGAAAAGGAAACCAGGTGAAGGAGAACAGGAAACGACAGAGCACGGGACCGGGGGGCGGGGCAGGGCAGGGCTGTGAGGCACGTGGACAGGCCGTGAGGGTCCCTGCCCCACTCCTGGTGCACACAGAGCAGGTGTGGAGGTCCCTGCTCCGGCCGGTCCCACCACCGAGCTTCAGGAACACGACCGCACTGACCCAGCAGGCAGCTGGTGCCCAGAGCCCCAGGGAAAGCAGGCATCTGTGTGATGAATGCTCCGACGGGAGGTTGGGAAGTCACCTATCACACACCAGCAGGACGAAAGGGGATCCAGAGCGAGAGCAGGTTCTGGGGTGATGGGTGGAAGACCCCCAAAGGGCCAAAGCAGTGTGGGCACACCCCCTCCCACCATGCCTCTGCTAACGCTGGTAATCACTCCCCTACAAATATGACAAGAGATGCTTGGCTCATTGCTTAGCTAGCTGTGCATCTTGTCCTCTCTGAGCCCACTGCTTCTTCATATAGCAAGTGCAGGCGGTACCTGCTGCCAGGAGTTATGCCCGTGAAAATACCAGGCAGTGGCTGGCATATACATGCGTTCAGCACATGTTAGTGTCCTTTTGGCTGTAAGAATCATCTGAGGAACTCCGCAAAACTAGGGAGGTCCAGATTCAGCCCCCGAGGGCCTGGGCCCACCAACATGGGCGAGGGCTGGGTGCCTGGGACTCCTCAGCAGCAGAGAAGTGTGCCGCTTGAGGAGAGGCTGCACATGAGCTCACAGCTGCAGGGCTAGTCAAACATCACAAAGTGGAGGCATGTTTAAAAGCCTTCTGGTGTTAGGACAGCGTGGCAGGCACCCCATGCAGGTGGTGGTCGGCGTGGATGCCCACTGGGACCCATGCTCGTGTGTGTGAGTGGAGACAGAAAGGCTACTGTGGATGTTGAAACATTTAGTCCAGATAACAATTTGGGTCAGATTACGAAAGGTCTTCAGTGCATGCTACAGAGTACAGACTTCCTTCTCTGAGCCAAATCCAGCAGTGCAGCTACAGGTTTGACAATTCCTTCTTTCCTTCCTTCCTTCTTTTTTTTTTCTCCTATAAATCAGGCTCTAAAATGGAACCACATAACTCTCTCTCAGAAATAAATTAAAAACCACTAAAAAAATTTTTTTAAAAAAACATCCATTCTTTCAACAAATGCTTAGTGACTGTCTTCCAAGCCAAAGTCAGATGTCAGGGAGAGACAGGACGTCCCTGCTGGGCCCAGGCTGCCCTGAGCTTTCTGGTGGGTGCAGAGTGATGCCAGGGGTCTGCTCTGCGTGGGGGGGGGGGGGGCTGCAGGGAGCACAGGCAGCTGTGGAAGAGTGGAGGGGGAAAGGGGCAAGCCCCGAGGCCGTGGTCCAAGCAGAGCGCAGGGACGGCGCTGCCACTGGCACTGGCACGGGAGAAGAGCGGGCTCCAGGGCACTGGGTCCTGGCGGGTCAGGAGGAGAAGGAAGTGCAGGTGTGGGTTTTGGCTGCGGGGGAGGAACCTTGGACAACCAAGCACCAGGGGTTCGGCATGACAGCCACGGGGGCCGTGGGGCGGGCACACCGGCAGGCTGGGCGCTACGGATGCAGCAGGGAAACAGCCAGCTGGGAGCGGCGGCCGGATGGCGAGGCCAGAGGCTGTGGAGGGCACCACTGCCTCAGTGCCACTGGCCGGGACGAGGTGGCCCTCACTGACTACGCAGGTGACCTCAGCAGCCAGGATGCCCAAGAGAGCGGGAGAGGGGCATGAACACTCCATGATTCAAGCTCTATCGCAGAGCTAAGCCCCCCAAATGTCACCCCAGGCGTGGCCACGGCCACAACACAGGTGTCACACGGGGCCTGGAATCTAGCAGCTACACTTGTGCCACACACAGCCTCTCAGTTCCCAGTTTTCATACCACAAGGAACAGGAATAGGCTCTTCCTGGGACAAGGAGCCTCTGGATTTGAGGAGGCTCTGCTATTTGACACCCTCCTCCCTCTCCGGAAGTGCTCCCCAAGACACTCACGCCTCTGAGAGCCCAGGACTGGCCCAGTCCCCGTGGAGGGCATCGGGAGTCAGGGACAGGTGCGTCGGGGGAACGTGGGGGGTGTCCTCTGCACACTGGGGACAGTCATCTGGGGACAGGCTTGGGGGTCACTGTGCCCTGACTTTGAAGGACAGCTCTGAAACCTTTGCTGGTGTGGTCTGGTCTCTGCCATGTGAGCTCATGGTGTGAAGTCCCTCTACACGTTGACAGGTACGGGGCACTTAGGCAGGTTGTCCCATGGACGACACAGGAGGCCCGTCCAAGCCACGGGGGACTTGGGAGGCCTGCCCCGGCCACAAGGGATGCACAGCGAGGCCAGGCCAGTGGGCACTGCCACTTCCCACTGCTGCTCAGCACGGCCGGAGAGGCCAGGCCCACAGTGCTGCCGGGCGCCGCTGGCTCCGAGCAGAGTACCTGGAGGAGACGCCGGCTGCCGGCCAGAATGAGACCCCGTCCGGAAGAGGCTGAGGAAGTGAAGAGAACATCCATTTAAGTACCTACCTATGATGGAATCCCTTCGGAAAACATCTCTATCGAAAATGTAAAATGACAGGTGCCGAAAACTCCGAGGAATTTCGCAGTAGAAGTCTTCTCCGTAGAAGGGGCTGAGAAATAAACAGAGTGGGCTCTGTTAGACTGTTGGAGCAGCGGCCTTGCCATCAGCCGGCAGGTGCAGGGAGCCTGCAGACAGCGCCAGCCTAGGGCCCTCACCTCTACATGCATCACGAACACCCCACTCTGTGTTCATTTGTGAGTCGTGATATTGTGGTTTGTTCACTGGGGTACAAACGTGGCCCCCGTGTGGCCCCAAGGCCCGTCACACTGCGTGAGTGGCCTATTGTGCCGGTGGAGAGCTCCACGCAGTAAGAGTGGCGTCCACCGCGTGTGTCCAGACCACTGCGACACTCTGAGTGTCTGGGGCAGTGGCTGGCAGGCCTCCCCCTGTGCATTAAAGTAACACTCAGCACCCCAGTTTCAGACCATGCCCCTCTCTTCCCAGAAGTCGGAGTGGAATCCACAGTTCTCACCGGGGACAGGACCCCTGCCCACCGAGCTGAGGCTCCTCACAGACCCTGTGCGTGAGTCACTGTGCAGGACGTTCAGTTTGGGCAGAGAGCCAGAGGCCCTGTCATTAAACAGACCCCGACTGCTCTGGGTGGGCAGGGCTGAGGTCAGCAAACGTGGCTTGCGGACTCGGGCATCCCTGCGCCGGGCCTGCTTCAGCTGCTGACAGGTGGCCTGCAGGTCACTGCAGCACACAGACGGCTGCCTCTGACTTTGGTGTGATTCCACCTCCACACACGCTTACGGCTAAGTTCCACAGCGGAAACACAATCGGCCAAGGAAGAGCTGGAACAGTAGCGTACGCTGGTTAGGAAGTGAACAATGTTCGCTCCTGCTCAAGCTGGAAAGGTGGACAGCGCGGCGCCCGGAGCAGAAGTTTACAGCGAGGGACACAGATGTGCCCCCAGAGAAAACGGGAGAGGGCGGGGTCAGCCCCCAGGCATGAGTCCAGACCATATTTCATCAGTCCTGAGGTGACCCCACCCCACGTTTAAGCATCTCTGGAATCAGATGTACCTGGCAGGCAGTGTAAGGAAGGACTGTGGCCATAATAAGCCTCTCAGAACTGATGCCACAGGTCCCTGGAATACAGCGTTTTTGTGGCATGATGTGCCGTGGCTCCATGTGGCACAGTTGGTATCTGCTTCCTACCACTCCGCCCCAGCAGGAAATAATGAAATCTCCTAAAACACAGGCACCTGACATGTCAGTCAGAATCACCCAGCTCCACACCACATTTCAACTCACTTTGTAGCTTGGGATCAGCTCAGCATGGCCCAGTTAGCCCCAGAAAGACCGAGCAAATGGACCCATGCTGGGGCTAGAAGGAGACCCCCATGAGGAAAGCAGACCCAAGACTTGGTCTCTCGATGCCAGCCCCCCAGGTTGGGGATGTACCAGCCCCTGGGGGGGTTGCAGAGGGCACGGTCAGGCCAGCCCCCCCAGTTGAGGATACACCAGCCCCTGGGTGGGGGTGCAGAGGGCACGGTCAGGCCAGCCCCCCAGGTTGGGGATGCACCAGCCCCTGGGGGGTGCAGAGGGCGCAGTCAGGCCAGCCCCCCAGTTGAGGATACACCAGCCCCTGGGGGGGGTGCCGAGGGCACGGTCAGGCCAGCCCCCCAGGTTGGGGATGCACCAGCCCCTGGGGTGGTGCAGAGGGCACGGTCAGGCCAGCCCCCAGGTTGGGGATGCACCAGCCCCTGGGTGGGGGTGCAGAGGGCACGGTCAGGCCAGCCCCCCAGGTTGGGGATGCACCAGCCCCTGGGGTGGTGCAGAGGGCACGGTCAGGCCAGCCCCCAGGTTGGGGATGCACCAGCCCCTGGGTTGGGGGGGTGCAGAGGGAGCGGTCAGGCCTCTGCCCTCTCTGCATGGCCGGGACAGGCTGCTTGAGCCCCAGCCCGGCTCGAGCTTGGCATGAGGCAGATGCAAGGAGGAGGCCAGTGCCCTGGCCTGGGCCCCCCGTGCTCTCCACATGGAACTGCCGTCACTCAGGCTGCAAGTCAGAACTATCTGGACAGGCTTGTAGGACACGTGGCTGCCCGGGACGGCCCCCGAGAGCCCTCTCCAGGGTGATGGGCCATAAAACAGGAATTTTTAATCCCACACCACATGACTGTCTGACACAGCCGCCAGGCCATCACAGCCTCCAAACCAGCCGCATGTTACCCCGGGCAGCACGCGATTCTCTTCCGTGACATGGAACCCATCTCGTCCCCAGGGCGCACCACTCGGGGCCACGCTTCATCCTAGAGGCCGTAGGAAAACGCAGGTGGTGTCCACACCTGGGGGACAGAGGCCGAGGGAGCCACGCTCCAGTGACGCCGGGCCCTGGGCAGCGAGCTCGCGCTCCTGAGGGGCTGGTGGAGTCCGGCAGAGCCCAGGCCTTGAGCTCGAAGGCTCTGTCTGCGGGTGCCAGGTCCCCGAGCCCACACCCGTCCCAGCTGAGCAGAGGCACCTCAGGAAGACTCTGCCTTCCAGGCCGTTGGTTCATAATCAGACTTACACGTATATTCCAAGAACTTCCCTGTGCTTCTTCACTCCCTTCTGGTCTGAGCTGCTTGCTTTAAAAAACACACACATTCATGAATACAAATGTTACCTATAATTTCTAACTAAAAACAAAAAAATAGCTTTTTCTTCGTAAGAATGAAATTGTATTGAGGATTTTACATTATAAAATCAAAAGTAGGCTCAGTAGGATGCCCGGGACCAAGAAGACGGAGACTAGCATGCGTGGTGAGCCCTCCCATGCTGCCTGCAGGAGTGTGACATGGTGCGGCCACGCTGGGGACGGTGGCAGTTCCTCAAAGTGGGAAACGCAGTAACCACGTGGCCCAACAAACCCCACTCCCGGATGTACAGCCCAGCTCAGTGGAAACACACGTGCACACAAACACTTGAACGTGCAGTGTTCACACCAGCCAAAAAGTGAAACAACCCAAAAATCTGCCAACAGAGGGACGGATATGCAAGGTGTGGTCCGTCCGCACAGGGGAATATCGTCAGCCACAGAGAGGAGACGCCCTTTGCCACCTGCCGCCACGTGAGTGCACCTTGAAATCATGATGCTCAGGGAGAAAGGCCACAGAAGGTCACACACTGTGTGATTCCATTTTCATGAAGTGCCCCAAACAGGCAGATGTGCGGAGACAAGAGCCAAGTGGCAGCTGCCGGGACCAGGGCACAGGCAGGAAACGGGGGCAGAGGGACGGGCTTCTTCCCGGGGCCTGGACATGTGCCACGCCGACCGCAGCGATAGCTACAACTCCAGATAGACACATGGAGCTCTTTATTTTAAATACCTTAACTGTATTGTATGTGTTTTATGTCTCGATAATGCTAGTTTTTTCAAAACCAAAAATTTTTAAAGTACATAAAGATGTCAGAAAGTGAAAACCAGAGTTACCATCATAGGAGAGGCTGCTAGATTTTTTTCTCTGAAGATGCATGACTACAGAACAGAGGCAGATACGGACGGAGGCACATATATTTAGATGGAAGTAGGTTTACGTTATGAATCCTGATGTACAGTCTGCTTTTCCTTTGATATCATGCCATGGGCCGCTTTCCAAATAAGTACATAAATGCCTGTCACCAAAGAGCACCTGAGGTGTGAGCAGGCACCCCTGCTTGATTTGTCCATGCCAACCCCGCCGGGCACCTTCTAGCCTCACCGCCTGAGTGGCAGGAGGGGCTGGGGTGGGCCGCCTGCCCGAGAAGGACCCCCAAGCTGCACTCCCTTGGCAGAAGGGTGCTCGCGGTCCAAGGGCTTCGATGCATGACTCCCCTCCAGAAAGTCGGGACAGTCAGCCCCGCACCCACCCACACAGAGTCGTCCCAACATTTACAAACTTGCCTCGTCCGAAGCAAACCAAGCGTGCGGCTTCCACTGGCAGTATGTACGTCAGTGCCGTCCAGCACCAGCCAGACCTGCGTGAGCGCGCCTGCTGACATGCCTCTGGCCCATGCTCCATTAACGCCCATCTGTCTGTGTTCAGATTCACCCACTGAAAACTTTCGAATTTGTGTTGCGGATTAGAAGACAAGTAAGTGACACACAGCACATACGAAACACCTTTTTAACTGGAAACACCACAAAGTTGTTAATCATATGTCATCAATGGGCGAGGATGGGTGTGTGGTCCTGCCTTTTCCGAAACGTGCTCGGCAGAGGACCGGAGGGACCCTGCCCTCAAGAGCAGAGGCTGCCCGGGCAGAAAGGCGTTTCAGAAAGACCAGCCATGGTGTCTGTGGGGACAGGATGGTGGACCGCAGCTGACCCACGTGGGGTGTAAGTGGGCTAGGCCTCACCGTCAGCACCTCTCCTCGGAGTGTCCCCCAGCCCAGGACACACCAGCACGGTCATCTGGACAACCGTGTTCCAGAGAGAAGGGAAACTGAAGTCTCCCATCCCGCCCTGCTCCGTGTGCCCAGCAGCACAGTGTCTTCTTTCTGGTGAACTCAAAGGGGCCCCCAGCTCCCAGACTCCTCTCCTTTCCCATTAGTGGCTTAACCTGGGGTATCTCTCTGCACAGACCTCGCTTTGTCCCCAAACAAGGTCAGCAGCCATCAGATATGTGATTAATGCCCTGCACAGTCAGCCCGCACTTGCAGCTTTAGGGCTCCAGGAAAGCAGCCCGAAGGACTTGGCTTGCCTTAAATACCACCATCTGACAGAGGAAATTAATGCGGGCAGCAGCATCCGCCCCTGAGGCTGGCCAGAGTGACAAGCTCTTCCCTCAGTAATTACTGGGAGAAGCTCAGATGGAGTTTCACAGAATCAAGTGAACGCTCACAAAGAAAGCAGCAAACACCTCCTGCCGAAAACGGACTTGATCTGGAAGGAGCTCCGACAAGGAGGAACCGCCTGCATTCCTCCCCCTCCTCCCAGGGCCCAGATGTGCAGCCCAGCGGTTCAGACAGGGCCTCGTCTGGGACCCCTGTCGTGAGTCACTTCCCAGCATCTGTGCGAGGCTGGCACCGCCCTGCGCGCACCAAGGCTGCTCGCCCTGTGGCCACGATGTCTTCTCACAAGAAAAGC